GCTGCAGAGACGTTTTGTACGCCATGTTTGGATAGGAATAGTGCGAGAAATGAGCAAGTAAATTTTCAAGCATGGTTGTAATGTATTCCGCACTGTTTGAAACTGTGTATAACCCCTGAATTTGGGTTCTTAGGACCCAAGTAATATCTTAATCGATTCGTACGTGTTTAGAATCCTTTCAATAGTCGATTCTGTCAACATAATGGATGAAGAGATTTTGAGATTTTGTAGTAGGAAACTGGACTGAAGAACAGATCGTTGGGCTTAAATCTCACTTAGCTAGAAATTCGAGACGCTGTAAATTTGTTAGGTTGGTACCAACTGAATCAGCTCATTGGCTCATGGCTTTATGCTTCCCTGCAATCCCACAATTCACTAGTTTGAATTTACTAAGCCCAATGTACTTTATTCCCTAGTACAATTGGGGGCAAACCTTTTTCAATTTTCTTATGCAGTACTACCTCCAATATATCTATAATATCTGCAGCAGTTCTGGGTAGAGGTAAAACACCTGATCCTGGTAATGTCAAGGCTATAATCCCATTCATCATTGATCCATTTACATTTTCCAACAAATTTTCTCAGCGTCTCAACACATGATTGGTACACGCCTTCAGCACACGCACTAGAGTGGCCACTTGAAATGTCTGTCAACAAAAACAATACTTTCTCCATATACTACATGTAGGGAGAGAAAGTAAGATCAACCCGGCGAAAGAAATGCCTTCTCAGCAAGAAATCAAAAGTTATCACGGCTTCATGGTATTGTAGTCGTATCTTGCATATCTTCGCATATTTGCATATGCGAATTGGCGTTCCTTGCGGGAAAGTGATGGGCGATTCATCATCTGTGTGACCGAGGTGAAACCTGTATGACCTTGCATCATCTACCCGGGTGTGTCAGATCATCAGTGGTCATAGGGCAAATTAAATAAATCTTCGAAATATGATGGTAGAGAAAGTCGTATGTATAAGTTGTATTGATCATGGGGCTAGAAGTAGAATGGATTGTACCGTAGTACAAAACATGGCTTGGTATCAAGCAATTTTGATGTTATTTTAGATTCTAGCTGATACAAGAAGCTCAACAAACCTAAAAGAAAAGAATATAAAATTTCCTTCTGATGCCTTTCATAAAGCGAAAAGGATAGATTCCTAGCAATTCAATTAGTACTCTCTTCAATAGGTGAACGACAAAATAAGTTTTTCCCCTCGAAAGTGTTCCAGTTTTTCTCATTTTTTTTCCAAGCAGCTATTTCCATTCAAGATGGGTAACTATCGAGTGGTTTCTTTTCCTCAAACACTGGACAATGGCAAATCAGTTTTGAGGATTTCCCCCGCACAACATTGACCCAGTTAGGGTTTTTATTTCAAAGTTAAAGACGTACCTTTGACAATAGGTTGCTTGGGTGTGTTATGGATTTTGGACTCAATTTCCTCATAGAGAATAGTGTTGTAATTGGAAGACGTGTAAAAATTTACACCATTCAACAACTGTAAAATCGTTCTTTGTATCCTTGTTAATTACGAATTAAGATATGTCAAATAAAATAATTTCAACGATGACAAGTCTAACACGAGAAATTGACAGCTATGTGAAAGTTGACAAGTTCCTCTAAGTGGCAAGTTCTTTTTACGACGTTTCACCGTGCTCGATTTCGATCACCGATAGTGACATGTACCATGTACTATCCCTATTAACCTCTAACTATCGCAACTAGGTCGTCATTTATCCTCTAGTTAAGCTGCGTCAAGGTTATGGTTACTAGACAGTTTCGGAGACTCACAACGTTCCGTCAATTTCCGCGGGTAAATTGCTTGTTTTCCGCGCCAAATGTGCATATGTCAAAAGTAACGGCGCGTGCAACAGCTGGCTGCATCGTGCTGAAAGTATGCGCCATGAAGGTATTCAATTCGTGTGAAATGCAACATTGAATCTTTTTTTTATTTTGAAAAGTCAAGTTTTTCAACTACTGTACTTAGTTTCCGTCTTGCCAGTATGCGATTCAAGCATTCCTTTATGATTGCTGTAGAGAAAGAAGACTAGTTTTACCACTGAAGAAGGACAATATGGTATGGAAACTATGTGTCACTTCCATCTCTTAGTGTACTTTAAAGACTTTTCTCGTGAGATTTACATTTAACTAAACCCAAGAGGGTGATCGGTGAACTTAACCCCGTCTTGAATGGCTTCCGTTGGAAAATCAATCCACCTGGAACTGACGCAAGGAAACATATTCAACAGAATGATTAAACAAAACACTTGGAAAGATTTGTCGTTCTTAATCACTCCACGTCTTTCTTCCTTTGCGGCCTTGGCAGAACTGTATATAGTATAAATCGCTGTCATTCATTACTCTATGGTTTATACTCTATGAACATATGTTTATCTATAACTCTACGTGTCTCTTCCCTATCGGTCTTGATGTAACTCCGTAATGTAGTGTTCGTCGCTAGTACACTACCCCACGCTTCTGTTCCTTGACTGAACATCATATAGTATACATCGCTGTCACTCAATACTCTATGGTTTATACTCTATGCGGCCGCTCCCCGGCCTTGGATGTGTTGTGCAACGACTAGATCCACTTACATTTGGCAAGACGCGGGTCGAGTTTCGGGCGTAACCTTTGCTGGAATTTGGCGCCCTCTCTCCCGCCCCCGCGTTTGTTGACGCCCCAGGCGGTAACTGAAACTGATGGAAACTATCGTGGTTCATATGGATGTGAATGTAAACTTTGCCATGTGAACATGTGTTTGCCATGTACAAATGAATCGGTGAACGTTGAACGAGTTCACATTGATCTTTATAAGATTTAGTGGAAGAAAATTTGTATTGTTTCCATTTTTAAAATTGTTATTCAGCTTTATAGCTGAAACCAAATCAGTAATTTTGATGAATTAAAAAAGATTGTTAAACAATGTAACAGTATGTACATTAAATGGAAAACACTTTTTACGTTTACTACTTCGGAAATTCTCCTCAGTTAGTTCAAGAACAGGAAAATGGATTTATGTCTTCAAACAGCTTGGGAATATTGTAAGAAGGAAATTGAAAATGTTATCCTATATAAGGCTAGCATGTTTCTTGAAAACCTTTTACCTCAGCTCGTGAACATCGCAAGGAACATCTATGCATACTGTTAGAAAGATATTTTCCTGTAGGTGTGCAAAATTCCTTTATAAATTTAAATAGACTCAAAAATACGCCAATAAAATAAATTTAAAATTTAGAAAAATTAACATGAGCTTTATGGGTTGGCATGCTGGTGACCAAATAACAACGAAATATAAACCGAAAAAAAAATAGAGAAGTCTGTACATTAAATATTTTTTTGGTCGAGTTTTCGACCACTGGACTACCTCTAGTCTTTTAAAATACAATAGTTCAGCTTTGTTTTAATTTTGTTTCTCGTACGAAAAATCCAATTCAAAACTTTGCAAATGTAGCTGAGTCTCACTTTAGATCCATGAATCTGTTGATATCTAACAACACGTTGCATTATGCGACCAATTAAGCTTATAAAGAACCAATGTTTAAGGATTTCAAAGATAAAAATGTTAAAATTCTTTTTAGATTTCACTTGTATTAAAATGTACCAGTCCCCTAGCATTTGGACCGTTGTTCTTCCTCAATCAATACACCTTTTTATGCACAAGGATGGCCCTGAATACCTCTGCTATGGCATGTGAGATTGCTGAGGTTATAAGAAGGTTGTGTTACTATCTCCCAAGTACACGTCTTCCGTTATGTTATGAACCTTGCAAATTGAAGGGAAATGGTGGCCTTCTTACATACCATTACTAGACCCACTGTCAGTGGTATAATCTATAGTACATGATGAGTGTGGATTGTTATAACTGATTTGGTCTTGTTTGTAGTGTAAGTTTTGCCTTTGATTTTTTATAGTAGTATACATCCCATTTCCATGTTAAATATGTTGCTAGTTTGATACAATGAATGATTCACCGATATCAAATACGTATTTATTTTAAACTAGCTGTACCCGCGGGCTTTGCCCCTTTTAACTTCATAAGTATTCACATGGCTCATTCACGTCCTGGTTGAAGTTCGTTCGCTACGCTCACTCACCTTTAGGTTGGAGCTCGTTCGCTACGCTCACTTGCCTTCAGGTTAGCTCGTTCGCTACGCTCACTTGCCTTCAGGTTAGCTCGTTCGCTACGCTAACTCGCCTCCAGGTTGAAGTTCGTTCGCTAAGCTCACTCACCTTTTGGTTGGAAATTAGCTGTCATAAATTAAAAAAAAAAAATAATGCTGCACCCTGTTGGTAATCCTTGTAACTTTTATGCTATTGAACATCATAGAACAGAACCAACTTGTTTAATTGAAACAGCTGTTAAGATCATCGATGTATAATAAGATTCATTAATTCCTTTTAAATATGAAAAATCATAGGATTAACATGGGGAACTACAGAGCCACTGGGGCGGAGCCCAAAAGGGTTTTTGAGATAAGAATATGCTTTAATGTTAATCGGGAATGTGAGCTATCATCATGCCAAATTTCAGCCCAATCCGCCCAGTAGTTTATGTGCGATTGAGTAACACACACACAAACACACACACAAACTCATACAATTTCAGATTTATAATATTAGTAAGATAAGATATGGAAATTTTTAACCGAACCTAGTTTAGGCACAGCTTATTTGTAAACAATAGCAACTTTTATTTCACATACAATTTTAAGCAATTGGATACAGCTGTTGTCTACTTCAGTATCAGAAAGTCAATGGTTTTACATTCAATACCTATTTATTATAGTCTATGATTAAGGAAGAAGGAATCCATACACAAATAACATCCCCAGAAGGTAGCATCATAGATGAAGTATACAACTTTTTAAGTGTTGTAAACTGTTTGGACCTTTTTCTTGGGCAAGTCAGTTGTGTCCATTCATCTTTCTACAAATCCAAGCTTAGTGTGATTTCCTTGAATGTTTATGATGTGTGTTTGACTTGACTTGTGTGTTGTTGCAGGATGGTCGACTGATGTTGGCGGGGGCAGATGGGCAACTCTGGCTCTCAGGCGGGGACGGGCGGGGACACTAGGCGGGGCTGGGCACACTCTTACCCTCGCCCTGCCCATAAGGTGAAGCATAGGCTACATGTTTAGTATAGTTTATATGATGGAACCTGTCTCCTGAGCCTCCATCATGGGTACTGGCTCGGTCCTTAAACCATCGGTCAGGAAACAGGTTCCATTACACAGACTATAGTTAATGTGGTTACATTTAAGTTGATTACATACCAATGTCATGCAGTAGTGTTTCTCAACTTCTGGTATGCATAGTACTATTGGCGACTGTAGTAGTCCATTCAAAGGTCATAGGTTCAAATCCCGCCGATTACTAATGGATTTTAAACATTTACTCGTAGTTGGAAAATAGTTTTGTTAGATTAGGTAAATTAGATTATGTGAAATATTTTTGTCCATCAAGTGGTTAATCAGAAAAGAAGGATGAGAAACTCTGCTATAGTGTATGTGGCAGACATTTTAAACCAAAGGTCAACCAAGTCACTTAATGAATTATTATTACCATTTAAGAAGGGAAGGTGTATTTTAACTCAATGAGTGAAGGATGAGTGTAGAATGTAGTAAGATGCATTGTGTAGCTTTGTTACTCACTATATAGTATTTGGTTGGATCTCAGTCCTACTCACACACACACTCAAAAGTTTTGCTCAAGACCAACGAGTGACTTTTTGAGTGCCGAGTTTAGTATAACTGCTCAGCTAGTTAATAGTGAGCTAAAATTACTTTAAGTTTGCCTGTAGATTGGGATTCAAATGAATATTCTAAATGCCTGTTTGACCGAGATATGTTTGTCACAGGTGTTGCCTGAGAGGGTACCAGGGCAGCGGTTGAGACTAACTCACAACGGAAACATCCTACACAGCGGCGGAACTCTGACTGGGCGTAAACATGTCAACCATCAGGTAATACATGACAACCAGCTGGTAAACTTAATTTATCTACCACCAGCTAATATGGGACATACCTACCGCTAAATTAAACAAATGTGCCAAACATTTCTGGTAATATACAACTAACGTGCTAACCATCTATGGTGAACTTGACCTAACTATTACCTTGGCAAAACATGCCAACTAGTAGGTGTAAAACGAGTAGCTGTAACCATTCAACTGCCAAACTGGTTGGTAAAACAATGGTTTCAATCACCAGGTCAGGGGGAGCAAGCTGATCTCATGGTAGAGCGCGGGACATCGGTCCCTGAGGTCACGGGTTCAAATCCCTCCAAATCACCAATGAGTTTTAAGTGATAATACCGCAACCCCTAGGTCTAGCCTGAAGTATTGTAAAAAACAATCCTGGGCCCGTGCCTAGCAGCCTAGGACAAAAAAATCTACCAGTTCAACTTTTCCAAAGATTCCAGTCCTCAATAATAATAGTACTATGACAAAATGGCATGGTTTACACACACCCTCTTGTACTTTACCAAACTCATCAACAAGTTATATCATATCACACTAACCATCACGAAAGAAACGTGCTAAATACCAGTGTGCCACTCATCTGGTAAACCATCACAAAACATTTTAACCATCAAATAACACACAAAACCTCTTTGACAACGTAATCCTTGGGATGAAAGCCATGTTCGATTTTGATGGAATTTGGTATGTTGGTACTAATCCATGGTATCTTCAGGCGTTTTTTAATGTTTTGGAAATTTTATTTTTATTGGTGATTTTTATATAAAACCCATGAAAAAAGTGAATTTTCACAAAATAAGCTCAAATGATTTTGATCATAAAATTATGTATAACCCCCAATTCTATTAACATTAGGATTCCAAAATTATTGCAACTTTTGTGATTTTCCCCTTAAAATATCATAATTACTCGTACAACTTGCCCATGATAAGGGTTGTTGACAAGCTGGGACAATGATACTGTTTATTTGAAATCAATATCCATAACATTCCGTGGGTTTCAAGAATGTGGTCAGAGGAGATGCAGTTGGCAGTTGGCACACATGTTCTGGTCGGATGCAGAGATTGGTATGCCTGGAGCACAGCCAACTACCAACTTTCACCTCTCAGCTGTTCGTTAACATTACGTCAGCTGATTATTGAAACACTCCTGTGCTCGGAATACCATTAACTCCACTTTATATATATAACACATATCAACGGTTCACACCATCACACTTCCTTTATTTCTCAATGGAATTACATTTTTGGTTACGAGAAGTTCAGAAGTGTTGGCACGTGATATTTGATAGTATGATTGTAACTCATTGGTAACACTGAGAAGTAATTACTTCCCTATGGTAGTACTTACAGAAAGAAATGACAGTATAGAAAACAAATTGTAAAATAATGACTTACTGTCTATACATAATGATGGATTTTAGATATTTGAGAGGAGTGTTCAACCGCTATTTTCACTCTTTACAGTAATGTTGTAGGGAAGCGAGTTAGTCATGTGGTAGAGTATATTACTTCGGTCTTGGAGGTCGTGGGTTCAAATACTGTCAATCACCAATGGATTTTATCTAAGTAATAACGCCATCCCTTGGAGACCTAGTGTGAAGTCATTTTGAAAACAATTTCAGGCTAAAACTGAGAGGGATAAAAAAAAAACTTAATTAAACTTAATTACTTTCTCAATACAGTGACAATTTGTTTGTACTTTTGAAGCTGAAATATAAATGCAGTGTCAGTGTAGAACAAAACAGGATGACCTATGTAGCTTTGCTACCAACGGTCAGCCGTTTCTTTAGCCAATGCTATAAAAGACAAATGATCAAGGACAACTAGGTCCAGTTACCATTTTAAACCATTTTGGATTGGAGTCTTCAACATTACTAAGTTAGTAGGTGAAATTGCACCTTTGTATTGTTTTACAATCACTGAGTAACAGAAGTATACAGTGATATTGCTAGATTGAAAAAAGATTATATAGGTCCTTCTCAGATGTAATTTTTCCAAGTTAAACATGAAATATCAGCAAATTTTAATGTAGGGAATATAATATTACTGTAGGTCTAATGTCAAATAAATAAATAACAATTTTCTTAATAGCCAGCGTTTCTCTGATACATATCAGTATTTTCAGAACAACTTTGGTCATTAAGTTATCAAAAGTTGTTGTTAAGACCTAGACCCTGTGGGCAGTAAAAAGATGAAATGTGAAGTAAATTAACTCAATCCAGAACCATTTAGTAGTTAAAGAGAAATATACAAATTCATATCTTCGGATCTACAAATTATTGGGCACTTAGTGGTCCTAGGGTTATATAAAATGTCTAGCAACTGGTCAGTGATGATATTTCAAATTAAGTGAAACACATAATGAAAACTAGAATTGTTACCTTGAATCTAATTAGTAAGTATGTACAGAGGAAGGCGGGAACGTCGTCAACGGTGGTGTCGGTAATCATAGACCGATTGCTTCTTTTTAAAACAAATCATTAAAAAATGCAACATATCCAAGATCATGGATAAATGTGAGCTCACGAAAACGTCAAAGTCATTATACATCAAACGGAATGTCTTGAAAATGACATAAGAGCGCTGTTTTGAAAGTATTGTCGGATCACTTGGCAAAAGCACTGAATCACAAGTTAGTTTGTACTCTCACAAAAAGGGGGTTATTTACTGTAAGGAAAGACGGCCAGATAAAAAGCTATGGTCTAGACTTGAGGTGGCGAGCTATTAAATGGGCAATTAATTACCTGAGAAGAGGGTGATATAGGAACGGACAAAACAAGAATATTGCAACTAACTCCACAAGATGTGGATGCCAAATAGGACTACACGTCAACCACGTCACTTGAAAATACAATGGTTCTTAGAGGGTTCTGGCAATTCGTCTGTCAATCAGAAGCGTGAAATAGGCTTACAAGCCACCGGTGTGTTATGGGTAGTACACGAACAAATGGACTTTCTTGACTGGTGGGAGATTTGAGTGGGCTTAACATGAATCAAAGAAAGAACCGGAATCTATTTACAAACTTTTTATTGAAGCTAAATAATAATAGTTTTGATATAGAGAGATGGTGACTTAATAAAAACATATTAAAATAACTGTTACTTCTCTAAGATATAAATTTGTGAATACCAAACGCCTAGGACTGATTTACTTTTATTTTCACAGGTGCGTCCCCGTAGTTCCAGCCAAGGCAGTCACTATGAGCCTACCAAAGTGTTGTACGGCAGCGAGCCTGACCTGCGATTCACCGGGAGAGAGTATGAGAACCACAGTCCTGCCAAACTGCGCATCTCTCGGTCCCGCAAGAAATACAAGGCTCCTCCCGCACCACAACACAGCAACGGGGTCAGTATCTCAATGGTAACAGTTGTAGTGGGAATCACCGGAAAATATGTCCATCACGATTAATAAAAATAGTGTTAACGACAAAATTGGAATATGATCCTGTCCTCAGTTGAGTAACTTCCTTGGCCTAATTAATTAGTACACGGAGATTTGGCAAATGGATAGAACTACTTTTCCATGTCAAAACTGTGGCTAGTTTTAGAGTAAAAAAGCATATAGTTGATTTGGAGGGACTTGCAAAATTTGCTGATGAAAATACCTAGAGAATAGTCATATTCAAGAATCTTTATTTTTAAGTAAACATAGTTGAACGTGAACGGTAGGTGTATTTTGTTTGAGTTTCTCTGTGTGGTTCATAACAAAACTAGACCTGAATGGAAAGAATTCTATTTGTATTACTGTGTTATGGATGGAAAAAGAATTCCCAAGATTCGTAGGAAACTAAGGTTAAACGACCAGTTTTAAAATTTAGGACGGATTAACCAACCTTGCCGAACAGAGGCGGTTAATCCGATTTACGTTCTGGGTTCAGTTAACAAAGGGTCTATTACATTTCCCCGTCTACGTTTTGTTTTAAAGAATTTGTTAAAGAATTGCTTTGTTGGCTCTGCAGATGGACAGTTCGTCACCAGACTCGTATCAACACTGGGAGATGACGGGGGCGGAGGTGGTTGCCCCCGTCAGGCGACTCAGGCTGTTCAAGACCAAGGCAGAGAGTAGCAAGAGGCGGGGGGAGACACACCATCACCCTCCGCCCCCGCCGGGCCCTCTACAGCGCAGTCTCTCCTCCCCTCAGTTCCAGATAATCAGCCCAGTGAGTCGAGTTAGATAATGTTGGAGTGTATTCTTTTTGATGAAATACCAGGATTAAATTGATCGTACAGATTTGTTATAAGACATTTAACCCTAGAGCCTATTGCCTCAACGCGAGAGCTCGTACAGTGTAAATATTTACCCCATCATTTTTTATTGGATACAATTTAAAAATAAGCAGTTTATTCGGAACATACAACAAAAATCAATATAAACTATATAATACTTATATTAACTATTTAAAAAAAAAACTCAATATTAAAGCTTACTTTTTAGGAATTAGGCTATACAAGTTTCTAAGTACTTCTTGAACCTTAGAGACACTTTTACCTCAATTAGGACAGCTCAAGGTAGTCTAGATTTCTTAGACAGATATCACATCTGACATTATTCCGAGAGAGTTTTTGCACTGGTTCTTGTTGCGCTAGTTCTGAAGCCAGCATAATCCGCATTTTGAGGTCACTAAGCTAACATTTTCCAAGAGTTACGTTCAATCTATGATCACAGGCAGAACTTCTAGAAGCAGCGGAGAAGCTGAGGCCTGTTCGAGAACCTCCGGTCGGTAAAGCGGCAGACAGTCCACCCCTTGGTCATAGAGCTCGGGAGAGCTACAACAAACCTACGAACAAGGAGAACAAGTCAAACAACCCACAACGAACACCAAAGGTAAGAAAATTCATTTGACAACCCTTGAACTGCTGGCTAGTAAAACTACTTTACCTCTCGAGAAGAGTATACCATAAGTTATTGACCTACATTGATCCCGCAGGATGAGCTCCTGTCAAGAGGAAGGAGTCAACCGATCCAGAGGTTAAGAGGAGACGGTGGCGGGGAGAGGAGAGGGAGGGGAGAGGGTTCTCCCGCTCAGGAGTCTACGCCTGAACCTCCTCCTAGCAGACGACACAACCACGACAAGAACTGGCCAGAGATGTGAGTAGCAACAGATTCTGCGGTCTTACAAACACTTTGTTTGCTTTTTCTCTTCTACAACAGATAGACATAGTTTGTTTTTCAATGGTGTATCATTATTATTACCGGTACATAGAAGTGCTTCAACTTCCAATTTAGACTTTTGGTCTATGTGAGATGAAGGCGTTGTTGAATTAGTGAAAATATTGGTCGAAGTTTGAAAGGCGTTGCTGCAATCCATCTTCAAGGCACCATCAAAAACTTTGGCCATTATTTTCACCAATTCAATGATGTGGTCCTCTCCCGAATACCAAGATTCGACTATCAAATGGTTCAAAATTGAATCACCCGTGTTATCAGTAGAATGTGATTGTAATGACAACTAGTTCTGGTTCACTATCATGGAACTATAATCAGGAATCAAAAGAATGAACAACTTTGATCGTTGGAAGCTTGATGTAATCTTTTTTCACTCACTTAAAACACAAACACGTAACACGCATGACTAGATAAATTGAATTAGGATCAAATTAAATCATAACACAACCTGGCGGGAGTTTAGATCTAGACTGCTTTCATTTTGATATTTTCCCTGAAGATATAGTTAAGTCACATTCTAAAGTGTTTGGGGACTAGTGCTGTGATCAAGTCAGACAAATAAATAAAAAGGTTTATATTCCTGATGGTTGCCTTGTGGTCCAATCAATTGGTCTGGAAACACTACAACCAAAAATTAAAAACCCTATGCATGAATGTCAACGTGATTCCTAGTTCTAAATGCAACCTAAAGCTTTGTTTTGTCTTACAGTACTCCAACAACAAAGCCGACTGCCCCTGTGAAGACTTTCTACTTCGGCATGAACGAAGACGAACTTCAAAACACAAGCTCAGGAGCAGGCTCCGAGGACAATCCTGAGGTTAGTAAAGATTAGATTATCTTTTGTGATTTTTATCTCTACTTCCAGTAAACTTTAAAACCATCCCTGATAGCCTATGAGTATTGATTGATCAATGGCGTTCCTTTGATTCTCTTTTAACATCTGTGTGCTATGAAAGCTGTGATGAAAGAGTCGATCGTGATGTTGCCGAGATTGCGGTTAATAATCATGGTGGTTGCCGTTTAAGGAGTTTGGAAATTCCTGGATTTGACCGTCCCTAATGAATGTCTTTAATAGTGACAATGGCCCAAAGCAAACCATATGAAGCATGTAAGAAAAGTTTGTGGAATAAACCTTCTCTCCTCTCTCTATTTTTTATAATTTTTAAATTATTTTTATTTACAAGTAAGAACTAATAACTTAGTTTTACTTTGAACTTTAAACATGGAAAACCTTGAATTGTCTTAGTATTTTACTTTTATGTCTTGCTAAGAAAAGGATACATATCATATATTCTAGATAGGTTGACTACTGTACATTCTAACTATGATAAGGAATCCATTGCAACGTTCAAATCAAGCAATCATACACAGGGGTTTGTGAGACAATGATTATTGGTAAGCTGCATTGTATGGTTGTGTTGAACAGGTGGACAGGTTCGCGGCCAGTATACAACGTAGGATTCCGTCCAACCCTACCCAACCTCCACCTCTGGTCACTCACAACACCTCAGGCAGCGACAGTCTCAGCAGCAACGACCCTGTGGGCGAGGAAGTGAGTATCCAACTACAAACTTAGGTTAAGGATGTATATAGAAAAATAGAGCAAAAGGAATTCTTGATAGCAGGTTTATGTGAATACGAAAATTGCACTCGAGGACAAGAAATACAACAATTATTAAATAGGATATTTCGTTGTCAGTAATAGTATTTTCAACCGAGAAATTTTTGAGTTGGGAAGAGAAATGTCTTTTAATGGTGGCTGTAAAGAGGAAGATATTTCTGTTTTGCCAGAGTGAACTCTTTATTGTTCTTTAGTATCTGATATGCTAACAAAAATCCTAAAACCTAAGCACTTTGGTTTACGTTACATCCTTAAACTTAGGGTAGGAATATAATTTAGGCAGAGTAATGATATTCAATCTTTTTTACACATTTAACTAAAACATAAACACAGATTTTTTTAAGGAGAAGAGTTCAGCTAGCATATCTGAGAAAATGAAAGTCCAGAGGGTAATAGATAGGCCTACACAATAAAAGAACAAAAAATGCAACACTGATATTTTTGTCCTGATGTGAGACTTTGTCAGAAAGTAGGTCGAAGAGAAAATAGATTAGCCCCTGGGCTCTAATTTTCTCAGGTACTCTATTCTTTTTCAGAAAATTCATTACCAGCCGATTGGCATTCCATTTAAATATAAAACACAATCAAATCACAAATGTATGTACTAACAGACACTGTATAGGATTCTCTAAAACCAAACCTTTTACTTTGTATCTTATCTTTGTATTTTGTAAATTCCGTAACCTTTGATAAGTTCTTAGAGTATGGTAGCCTTCCGGAATCTCAATAATTAAATTAGTAAATTATATCTGAAAGTCGGAAACCAATTTAACATTTGTAATGAAGTATCAGAGACATTTCGACGATGATGTTTGTTCACAGAGTAGTCCCCAGATCTCCCTACAGTTGCGCCCCATCCTGCCCCGCAAACAGCTGGAGATTCCCCGCTTCTCCCCCACAGCCGCGTGGAGGCTACTGGCAGCTCTAGAGTCACCCCCGCCTAGTGACGGAGGTGAGGGCGAGGGCGAGGATGAGCTGATCATGCCCCCGACACCTCGGCGGGGCGATAAGAGCGGGGACAGTGGTATCAGCGGGGATGCTAGCCCTCAACATCAGGACTCTACTCACTATTCCCCTCACATAAGGGTAACTTGGAGAACAAATGGCTATAGTTATAAGCCAATTCAACTATAATTAAAACAATTTAGCTTGTAGTATTCTAAAACTTGTTCTGGATATACAGCTTAAAGTTAAGAGTGCATAATATGAGTAATTTTTGAACCGAGTCGAGCCTAGCCCAAAAACTGGAAGGATTGAATTAAACCGAGCTGATTAATATGTTTTATATTAACTTATACTAGTGTCCCTGTTGCTCGAATTCGAGCAATTGCTAAGTATTACAGGCATTATTTTAAAACGAATAACAGTCATAATTTCTGATGAATTTAAAAGATTCGACTCAAAGATTGAAATTCTCAAGATATACAAAACAGATTGATATAATCAACATTTCTTGTAAATATCTTATCATTTTTCTAAAGCTGATCTTGTTTTTCTATCTACAAAAGGTTGTCCATAAAAACAGTTATAAATTCTAAGAAAAAAACAATAAATCAGTAAATGTATATAGTTTGTAAAATTTGCAAAACTGTCAAATTATAAAACTTATTGACTGTTTACAATTAAAATATGTTCTTCTTCTCACATTTAATTTCTTACAACAGCTGGAGTTTCATAAACATTTTTGTTTCCCATGCTAATCTTATGGAGAAATACGAAACTTTAAAGGGCCCCAGGGCCTCACTCTCTAATTATTTCCCTAAAAAGAAAGTTTCCTGCACAACTTCACGTTAAGCTCTTTCCAATGACTTCAAAAACATGTCAATCGGTTCAGTAGTTTCAGAGGAGTAATTGTCACAAAAAACCTGCTTGCGTATTAAATAAGTATAGATATAGATGCTGTTTGATGTTTTGTCTTTGTTTTTGTACATACAGTAAAAAAATATAATTTCTGTTTAGGTCCTATAGGTATTTATTTGAAGAAATACTGTATTCAGGATTGTGTTCCTATACTATTGTGATTGATACTATTACGTTTAAAAGTAAACTTTTTTGCTGGTTATTAAATCACCCTTTTTATAGTTTAAGTGAATTTTTCATGTCTGACATTGATATTAGTTTTTAGTTTCTGACTGATGTAGGCCTTAAATCTGTGTAACTTACTTTGTTGTTTAAATTATTTAAAGTAGCCTAGTTATTGAATGTTATAGGCCAAATGCTAACCACTGGACATTTCATATTGACCTCAACTATACAAAATGTATTTTTTGTAATTTGTTGTAATAAATTCTTGATTCTTGATTCTTGACATCAAATATAAATGTATACTGCATTGAACAATAAAGAATTTTCAATTTCAATACGGTATTTGACATTTTGACACATTCATGTCCCATGTACAATATGAATCAGGTTTTAACAATTGATTGGGTGAGTGGACATGTATTACACTTCTTTGTACAGGGTGTGCCAGAAGTAAACAGCCAAAGTCAAAATTAAGAGAATTTTCTCTTTATTTTGACCCATGGAGTCATTTTTCTGAGTTTGACTGTTTACTCATGGGACACCCTGTAAGCTGTAATAGTGGTGTCATTACTTTGTTTGTGGTTTCAGTGGTTTGTAATATTTACAATGGTTTTTAAACATTTTTCCCTGTTATTTCTGTATCTGAGGAGTAATGTTTACAATTTCGCAATGCTTGATTTGTTATATTTATGTACAGGTTAAGTTTAAGAAATGGCCATGTAGCCCTAACTCTTTGCCTGTCTAGATAAATAATTTTTCATTTCATTTATTTGCAGGCTGCTTGGACTCCTCAGCAAGATCTGGAGGAGACCAGTTCAGACGGGGGGTTGGAGTCCGCCCCCCTCTCCCCTGAGAGTTTACCGCTCGCCAAGTTCTCCCCTCGCTTCTCCCTGTCCCTTCCTAGGGATGACCGCCTGGCCGTCTACACACAGACAGACAAGGTGTTTATTTTATTTTTTGTGTTTCGATACCATTGGGTTTTTGCAAGGGAACAATCAAAACCCTAGTCTTGTCGACCTTTTTTAAGATGGCCTCGTTAATTGATAGATCAATGACAAATGGCATCTGGGTATAGCAGCGATGTCTCTTAAAAACATAGTAACCTTCAGATTTTATGATGAGCACTATAACCAATATTGCCAACTTACCAGCAAATCTGCCACATTCAATACATAAGATGTCCCCTAACTACTCATTTCTTTTGACCACTGATCTAGCACTCTGTAGCTATATTCTTCATCATTTTATACCTCACATCTTAAGCTTGTTTAAATTTTCTGCACCTGATCTATCCTTTTCCATAACTATCTTACTGCATTCATTTTTCTTAAGTAATTTTCATTTTACTGGATGTTTAAAAAATAATGGTGCAATAAGCTGGTGATTCCAACAATGGAAAGAGCTTGTTTATTTTTTTATATGGTTATCTTTTGCATTGAATATTTGATTAACTGAGTTACAGACTTGTTTATTAAATAACTACTACCAACCTATGAAAAATGGTTCAAGTGCGAGAATTTGTTTGAAGTGGAGCTGTTGCAGCTAATCAATGTAATTACTTCCCAAAATATGCAGTACAATGTAGAAGTGCAATAGCTTGTGTTGAACAGTCACAACTCCTTTGAGTTTGAGCTATCTCTGACACACAAAATGCTGTTTTTGCGTTCAATAAACAAGTCTATCACAGTTATCAAGTAGCCAAGGCAAAACTTGGACCTCTTTCCATCGTTGGTTATTAACAGCTGTTGTACTCAAGGCAAACTGAATTCCTCCTTTTTAGTTTTGCACCAGCCACCCATTATATTTCTTTTAATCCTTTGCAGACAAAAGAAGAAGACAGTTTCCAAAGCCTGAAGAAGCTGAAGAGGTCGATGTCAGGCGCGTTGGCTCTAAGTCGTTGTGGCACCAAGGAGACTGGTGCTAGTAGTCTACCTCTAGACAACAACTGGGTGTTGAGCCGCAGTGTTCCTAACTCTCTCAACACTAGCTTGCAGAGGTGGAGCTCCTCTAGTCCCTCGTCTCCTGACCAGGTAGGCTTTGGAATCCTGTAAAATCAGCTGGAGTCGGTTAAATCAGCTGGAGTCAGTTAGAATCAGCTGGAATCCTGTAAAATCAGCTGGAGTCTGACAAAATCAGCTGGAGACTGGTCAAATCAGCTGGAGTCAGTTAAAATCAGCTGGAGTCTTGTAAAATCAGCTGGAGTCTTGTAAAATCAGCTGGAGTCAGTTAGAATCAGCTGGAATCCTGTAAAATCAGCTGGAGTCTGACAAAATCAGCTGGAGACTGGTCAAATCAGCTGGAGTCAGTTAAAATCAGCTGGAGTCTTGTAAAGTCAGTTGGAATCCTGTAAAATCAGCTTGAGTCAGTTAAAATCAGCTGGAGTCTGGTAAAATCAGCTGGAATCCTGTGTAAAGTCAGCTGGAATTCTGTAAAATCAGCTGGAGTCGGTTAAAATCAGCTGTAGTCTGGTAAAATCAGCTGGAGTCAGGTTCATTCATTCACTCATTTGATTACATAGGTATTACATTGCAAAGCCTCTTAGATCTTTAACCAGCTTATTACCGTCGTCTGTTGTACAGGAAGAGGAGTTGTCTGTGGTAAAGCAGCCTTCGTTCTCATACCTGGCGACCGGAGGACACGTCATGTACCTGCCAGAGTACTCTACCCCCCGGTCTCACAGGTTAGTTTCCACAAACCTACAGAGTAGATTTATTGGGTGAACTACTCAGAAAAGCAATATCAATATCATTGCTCACTTTTTTTATCCAAGATTATTTCAGGATACTTACAGTATAATCTTATCAACTTATTTAAAGGACTGTTGCTGATTTATACTTTTGAACAAAACTTTAAATTTGTTATGTAAGGATTTGTGTTCAAATAAAAGGTTTACCTAGATGATAAAGACTCCACTCCAAAAGGAAGGGGACGTGTTGGCATTTTTGCACTTTAAAACCTAAACTTGTTATTTGCACCTAAAGCAATTTATTTCCAAAACATTTTTAGAGCTCAAAAAAATAAATAATTTGGTACATTGAAGTTTTGTTGTGCACTTAATGATCAGAGAAAAAATTCCAAAAACTGCAAGTTAAAAATGCTCATGTTTTTTTATGGAGGCTGAGTAAAATGTTGTAGTTTGCTTGTTTATGGTTATAACTTTATTATCAAATTTGGCAAATTTATTTATTTCATACTAAACTATTAACATTTTATATAAAATTATTTTTATTAGGTTGCCTGTAGCAGCAAACCAAAAGAAATATTTTAGTGAAAATCAACTCAGGCACATAGAAATTTACCTAATCTGCAGGTTTGCTGCAGAGGGTGTATTTTTATTCACTAGGGTCTCCCCCATGTAATATAAATTCCTGGTGTTGTAGGGACAGAGAGAGGACGCCGGCAGCTCTCTCGCTCTCCAAGTCCTGTGAGGACCTCAGTCAGCTAACGCCAGGGGTGTTGCGAGCGATGGAGCCCAAGGGGCGCAAGAAGTTCACCTTCCAGAGCACCATCCGGCAGATCGAGAGGCGGCGGCTGGCGGAGAAACTGTCCAAGGAGGCGGAGCAGAAAGGTATAATCCTGGGTGCAAACACTCTAGAATCTCTGTTAACCAAAATAAACAGCGGGCAGGTCATTAATTCTACAAATGGCTTTTGAACAACCCTTTTTATTCTCTAAAAGATTTTTTTGAAATGCCTTTTATTAATTTTTAAGTAGGAGCTAGCAAATTTATCAAATTACTGTTGGATTTAGTTGGTTATGGGGTTTAATAACTTTCATTATTCTAAATGCCTTGCATTTTTCTGAACAATAAGATTATTTGGTTGTAATATTAAAGTATGTATTGTAACATGTCTCCTTGTGTGTAGTATTCTTGTAAATATTGTATATTGTATTCATGCTAGTTTATAGTTTAGTTAGTATATTGACTATGCTAGTTTTAGCAGTTTTTCGGACATTGTCAATAATTTGTATAAATTCACAAGACAATAAACACATTTCATTTCATTAGGATAACTAAAATTTCTGTAAATGCTTTTCACCGTTTAAAGTTCAGGTAATAATGTAACTAAAGTACTTGCCAAGGTGGTATAATTAACTTTAAGGCCTAATATGGGTCCAATCACAGAGAAGTGTACAGAGGAATCTTGCTTATGGAGCGACCGTGCGCTTTCAGTTCTAGGATGTTGTACCGGAAATATACTTGTGATGAGAAAAAGCCCGAACAGTGAGCGGTGAGAACTGTGCGAAAATTCCTATCGCACAGGGCACAAGGGTCTTCCTACACCATGAGTGTTGTACATGAGGGCGAGGGGATGGTGTTGGGCTTTGCCCTATACACCAGCGGCTAGTGCTAGACACCACTTAAGTGTACTATTGAATGAGTCTGTACCTTACTTTTCTGTGGTCCTATACATTTATTTTGATTCAGCATGTTTTTCAAACTACTGCAATCCTACTGTGTTTGGCAAAATGTTCCAATTTTTTGTTTCTTCTTTTTCACAACGATTTTGCAACGATACCACCACTTTGAACAGAACTGATGGACTAGGGTCCATTTCTTTATACTTTTAGCGGACATAATTTATAATGTAGGTTCAGTGATTGATTGTAGTATGCATTTTCTAGCAATCAACAGCCTTAACGCTTAACTTTGTGCCACCCATCATTGTCACACTGCCATTTAAATGTCTAAAATTAATTTTGCTGTTTTAGTTTTCAGCTGTTTCTGTAAATTTTTATTTTGATTACTGAACATAATGTACTTGTGCTTAATTCAGTCTCTAAGTAACGTAACCATTTGAGTGCCAGTGCTCAGAACGTTTGCCATTTTACAGAGCGACAGAGACTCAATGAGCTAGAAGCAATGCGAAGGGTCGAAGAGGAGTTTCAACGCAAGCGAGAGAGAGAGAAAGCAGATATCCGTCAACAGCTGAGGTTGTACAGTCTGACGCAGGGACGAGACGCTCCAGAGGGGAAAGACGCACCACCACCTCCGTCCACGCAGGTGTTGAGTGAATACCGACAACCTAGACATGACTACAGGGACTTCACACCTCACAGGTGAAGATCATGTAAATTAGATGTGGATGTGATGAGGGGAAAGGCTCCTAACACTGAGAGTTACACTATTAAGTCGCTAGTGGTTTTACATTAATCCAATGACAATTAACAAGTGGGATGACTGTATGAAATAACTCGGTGGTGGGGAAGCAATGATTGTGCGCACATCCTGCTTGGTACTCTAATTGACACAGTAATGTCAGTAGGGGAGAAATTTTGTATAGTAAAGTTTTTTTAAGAGGTTGGCAGGCTCTTTTAAGCTTGCATTTGCCCGTCCTCATAGACTATCTGCCCGTGCGTGTAACGTATCAAGCAAAGCAAGGGGTAAGCCGGTACAGTGCAAAGGAGAACAGTACTGATAAAATGTTTGCGGCATCGCTGCCTTGAGCCTGAAGTCTGTGATGCTACCGACAGCCACCGACTCACCTAAAACAAGTTACAAAGTTTACAAGTTAACTTTTTGACCTTTCATTTAATAGTACACCTGTATACTCACCTCGAAATTTGGTTGCCTATTGTTACAGGTATCAAGAAGAACCAGTGTTGGAAGTTCCTAAGAAGTCAACGGTTCATCCGCAAGTAGTTTACCAGATGCCAAAGAGTACACAGGTCTATGTTGCGCCTCACCTGCACTCGAACAGTGGTTCAGGTTAGTCCATGGATTACAAGATAATTATTCCTAACCATTGTTAACATTACCATACAAAAATATTTTAAAAGGTTAGTTAATTTAAGAATATTTTGTTGTGAAATACTTTTATAAGGTATAAAAACCTGCAGAGTTCAAAACATAATTTACTACAATGAGTTTTATTGGTGTAGTATTTTTACTCCTCTTTGGTTATTCCCACGATTACTAGAAAAATACCGGTATGGATCATAAAAATAAACAAATGGCGTTTTTGGCACGAAAATAAACATTATTTAACATTGCTTAAATGGAACTGTCAAAACATATGTTCAATGCTATTAGTATAGGATTCGGGCCAATAACGTCATTTGTTTATGTTAATGATCCATACCGGTATTTTTCTAGTAATTGTGGTTATTCCTAAGAGATATGTTTTCTTCTCTGTCCACACCCCTCTAGCTAGAGACTGTTATATTGTCAGTGTCTAACACAACTGTTGTCAGGTGTAGGCAGTGTAGGTGATGGAGGGGGAATGTCCACACCTCGCTCATCATGTTCAGACAACTATCGGAGAGACTTTGCTCACGGAGCCGTGCCTCACTCTCTAGCTAGAGACTGTTATCTTGTCAGTGTCTAACACAACTGTTGTCAGGTGTAGGCAGTGTAGGTGATGGAGGGGGAATGTCCACACCTCGCTCGTCATGTTCAGACAACTATCGGAGAGACTTTGCTCACGGAGCCGTGCCTCACTCTCTAGCTAGAGACTGTTATATTGTCAGTGTCTAACACAACTGTTGTCAGGTGTAGGCAGTGTAGGTGATGGAGGGGGAATGTCCACACCTCGCTCATCATGTTCAGACAACTATCGGAGAGACTTTGCTCACGGAGCCGTGCCTCACTCTCTAGCTAGAAACGTTTATATTGTCAGATTCTAACACAACTGTTGACAGGTGTAGGCAGTGTAGGTGATGGAGGGGGAATGTCCACACCTCGCTCATCATGTTCAGACAACTATCGGAGAGACTTTGCTCACGGAGCCGTGCCTCACTCTCTAGCTAGAAACGTTTATATTGTCAGATTCTAACACAACTGTTGTCAGGTGTAGGCAGTGTAGGTGATGGAGGGGGAATGTCCACACCTCGCTCATCATGTTCAGACAACTATCGGAGAGACTTTGCTCACGGAGCCGTGCCTCACTCTCTAGCTAGAGACTGTTATCTTGTCAGTGTCTAACACAACTGTTGTCAGGTGTAGGCAGTGTAGGTGATGGAGGGGGAATGTCCACACCTCGCTCGTCATGTTCAGACAACTATAGAAGAGACTTTGCTCACGGAGCCGTGCCTCACTCTCTAGCTAGAGACTGTTATATTGTCAGTTCCTAACACAACTGTTGTCAGGTGTAGGCAGTGTAGGTGATGGAGGGGGAATGTCCACACCTCGCTCATCATGTTCAGACAACTATCGGAGAGACTTTGCTCACGGAGCCGTGCCTCACTCTCTAGCTAGAGACTGTTATATTGTCAGTTCCTAACACAACTGTTGTCAGGTGTAGGCAGTGTAGGTGATGGAGGGGGAATGTCCACACCTCGCTCGTCATGTTCAGACAACTATCGGAGAGACTTTGCTCACGGAGCCGTGCCTCACTCTCTAGCTAGAGACTGTTATATTGTCAGTTCCTAACACAACTGTTGTCAGGTGTAGGCAGTGTAGGTGATGGAGGGGGAATGTCCACACCTCGCTCGTCATGTTCAGACAACTATCGGAGAGACTTTGCTCACGGAGCCGTGCCTCACTCTCTAGCTAGAGACTGTTATATTGTCAGTTCCTAACACAACTGTTGTCAGGTGTAGGCAGTGTAGGTGATGGAGGGGGAATGTCCACACCTCGCTCGTCATGTTCAGACAACTATCGGAGAGACTTTGCTCACGGAGCCGTGCCTCACTCTAGCTAGAGACTGTTATATTGTCAGTTTCTAACACAACTGTTGTCAGGTGTAGGCAGTGTAGGTGATGGAGGGGGAATGTCCACACCTCGCTCATCATGTTCAGACAACTATCGGAGAGACTTTGCTCACGGAGCCGTGCCTCACTCTAGCTAGAGACTGTTATATTGTCAGTTTCTAACACAACTGTTGTCAGGTGTAGGCAGTGTAGGTGATGGAGGGGGAATGTCCACACCTCGCTCATCATGTTCAGACAACTATCGGAGAGACTTTGCTCATGTTACCGTGCCTCACTCTCTAGCTAGAGACTGTTATATTGTCCGTTTCTAACACAACTGTTGTCAGGTGTAGGCAGTGTAGGTGATGGAGGGGGAATGTCCACACCTCGCTCATCATGTTCAGACAACTATCGGAGAGACTTTGCTCACGGAGCCGTGCCTCACTCTAGCTAGAGACTGTTATATTGTCAGTGTCTAACACAACTGTTGTCAGGTGTAGGCAGTGTAGGTGATGGAGGGGGAATGTCCACACCTCGCTCATCATGTTCAGACAACTATCGGAGAGACTTTGCTCACGGAGCCGTGCCTCACTCTAGCTAGAGACTGTTATATTGTCAGTGTCTAACACAACTGTTGTCAGGTGTAGGCAGTGTAGGTGATGGAGGGGGAATGTCCACACCTCGCTCGTCATGTTCAGACAACTATCGGAGAGACTTTGCTCACGGAGCCGTGCCTCACTCTAGCTAGAGACTGTTATATTGTCAGTTTCTAACACAACTGTTGTCAGGTGTAGGCAGTGTAGGTGATGGAGGGGGAATGTCCACACCTCGCTCGTCATGTTCAGACAACTATCGGAGAGACTTTGCTCACGGAGCCGTGCCTCACTCTAGCTAGAGACTGTTATATTGTCAGTTTCTAACACAACTGTTGTCAGGTGTAGGCAGTGTAGGTGATGGAGGGGGAATGTCCACACCTCGCTCATCATGTTCAGACAACTATCGGAGAGACTTTGCTCATGTTACCGTGCCTCACTCTCTAGCTAGAGACTGTTATATTGTCCGTTTCTAACACAACTGTTGTCAGGTGTAGGCAGTGTAGGTGATGGAGGGGGAATGTCCACACCTCGCTCATCATGTTCAGACAACTATCGGAGAGACTTTGCTCACGGAGCCGTGCCTCACTCTAGCTAGAGACTGTTATATTGTCAGTGTCTAACACAACTGTTGTCAGGTGTAGGCAGTGTAGGTGATGGAGGGGGAATGTCCACACCTCGCTCATCATGTTCAGACAACTATCGGAGAGACTTTGCTCACGGAGCCGTGCCTCACTCTAGCTAGAGACTGTTATATTGTCAGTGTCTAACACAACTGTTGTCAGGTGTAGGCAGTGTAGGTGATGGAGGGGGAATGTCCACACCTCGCTCGTCATGTTCAGACAACTATCGGAGAGACTTTGCTCACGGAGCCGTGCCTCACTCTAGCTAGAGACTGTTATATTGTCAGTTTCTAACACAACTGTTGTCAGGTGTAGGCAGTGTAGGTGATGGAGGGGGAATGTCCACACCTCGCTCGTCATGTTCAGACAACTATCGGAGAGACTTTGCTCACGGAGCCGTGCCTCACTCTAGCTAGAGACTGTTATATTGTCAGTTTCTAACACAACTGTTGTCAGGTGTAGGCAGTGTAGGTGATGGAGGGGGAATGTCCACACCTCGCTCGTCATGTTCAGACAACTATCGGAGAGACTTTGCTCACGGAGCCGTGCCTCACTCTAGCTAGAGACTGTTATATTGTCAGTTTCTAACACAACTGTTGTCAGGTGTAGGCAGTGTAGGTGATGGAGGGGGAATGTCCACACCTCGCTCATCATGTTCAGACAACTATCGGAGAGACTTTGCTCACGGAGCCGTGCCTCACTCTCTAGTCAGTTCTGACTCGGAGATCTCTCAACCCAACACGAGGCCGACGTCTCGCAACATACACCGCAGCAGGTAATACTAAAAATGAGTGACCAAAAGAAAATTGTTTAGGAAATGTTATAATTTATTTTTCAAACCATTCATGGAGTAATGAAAAAACAGGAAAATAGTCGGTTACTAAAACAGTTAAGAATTCCCTATGTATATTTTTTTTACAAATAGAAACCTCCAGTAAAATATTTATGTTCAATACTATGAATGGTATGGAATATTTAAGTAATATATAATTTGGTAGCATAATTACCAAAAAGGTTTTTTCTAAGAGTTTCCTAGCTCACAAAATCACATTTTTTTTACAGAACTTGTGTATAACATAGATAACAGGAATGGTAAATATTTCTTCCATATGCACTGAAGCAAATTTTTTCTACTTTTTGCTTGAATACCAAGACTCTTGATATAATTTCATTTAAGACATTTTCACTTGCACTGCTTTCAAGTTCTTTTCACGTTTTCTTCAAGGCTCACCGCACAAATCTTAGAAAGTTTTAGATGCACAAAAACAAGTTTTAGCTACTAACATTAGGTTTGAAAAGTTTACCCTATAAACTTGAAACAATTGTAGTTTATAACTAATGAGAATTTACAGACATCTTGATTGTAATATAACGATCAAAAAACAATATTCCCTTCCTCTAAATAAAAAATTATGGTCAACAAGGTATTCACTGAGTGTACTATCCAAGGTCACGCCGCTAGAAGTCTGCTTGACAGTATATCATGTTCACTCTTTGCTGGCTTATGGCATCACTCTATGAGGTAACTCTGCAGAGGCCAAGAAAGTGTTCACTTGCCAAAAGTCAATTCTCAGAACTATTTTTCACCAGATGTCTAAAAAAACTGTTAACCTTTTTTCAAAAAACGTTCCATTTTAACATTACCATCTCTTTATATATTTGAAATAGCAAAGTATGTTCATGCAAATCCTTTCTTTTATGAAAAATATAAAATAACTATCAAACGAGAAATAATAAAAAAATTTCAAAATCCCAAACCTTTGCACACAAAATTTGAAACTGGGCCTCTACATGAGATTAAAAATCTACAATCATTTACCTAATTCATACAGAACTTTATCAAAATCAAATTTTACATATAAGCTGAAAGAGACTTTGAGCCAGAAAGCATATTAGAAAATTCAGACTTTTTTAAGATAAATTTTTATAGTTTTTACTCTTGTTAGGGTATAATTAGAGAACCTAGATAAAAATTAGTTATAAATTGACCATGTACCAGCTTGGGAATTACTTTTGTAATTATTGTACAGGTGTCATGTACAATAAAGCTTTCTCTTGTCTATTGTCTCATAGTAGCAAAATTGTTAAATCTAATGTTATTTTATGGGAATAAATGTAACTTGTTTATTTATGGAAATATTTTAGTAAAAAATCAATTGGACAAATTGATATTCGCTTATTCTGCAGGTTTACTGTGGCAAAAGTTTTTTATTGCTTTATAATTTTGTATTTTAATTCAAACTGATTGTGTAAATTTAATAATATTAAGATATTTTAGTTTTATATTTATCTAGCTGGAACTCCTACTGCTGGACATTTACACATGGTAATTAGATTTACTCTACTGCTTGCTGTTACCATTGACTGTAAGACGACATACTGACTGAACCTGGCAACAGATTGTTTGACTGTTACCAAAGTTTTTGCATGATTATCTTTACTAACACACTGGGATGGGTTTTTAATTGCATGTTTAACAGTTTACTTGCATGTGACATGCAGCTCTTGTACAGCTATTTAGACGTATTTTCTTCCAGTTCAAAAGAATACCTAACAGTCTTGCTAGATAATAATCCATATGCACTTTTCATGTTTATTCAGTTTGCGTTTGCATAAATTATATTTTGAAATAGAGCTTTAATCAATTGAATCCATAATCAGTAGTAATTGAAAGTCACTGATAGTCATAATCCCAAGTATAATATTTTGATAGAGCAAATAAATTTCAAAGCTTTAATAAAGTTTCAACTTATGTAACTGGAGGTTCAAAATGTTATTTTGCATATTATTAAGGTTCATTGGGTGTTGAAGGAAATCTTAAATTTTTTATGGTTTAGGATATACAAATTTTATGTTAGCTGATGATACCAAGTTATGGTCAATAATTGAAACTGGTGAATTTTGACACTGAGAGTAGACTCCTCATTCTATTGCAAAATCTTAAGTCCATTTTGATGTGTGTTTTAGCTTGTGTGTGATGGTGTCAACCAAATCTCTTTTCTTATTTTAGGACATATCTTACAGTATAGCTTTACTCTTAAAAATATCAGGAGGAAAAACAATAGTTTACAAGTAGAATGTTGCGTTGAGTAAAAAAATTAAGTTTTGCAGTTGATTAAGTAAAATTAATTAAATAGTTAACCAAAAAAACACCCTCTACATCCCTGAATAGAAACACACTTTTAAAATGGTCCTCCATTACAGTGGACTCCCTCTTATCCGGACACCTTTTAACCGGACATCTGTTTAACCGGACTACATTCGGCGGAAATGACATCTCTTTAACCGGACAATTTTTATCAGCACATTGGTTTAACCAGACTAGATCGGCAGGAAGTGGGCGGTACTGAAACGACTATTCTCGTGGGAAAGAATTGAGACCAGGAATCACGTGACTAAATACAATGCTCTCTAAAATTGAAGTTGAATATCACAGTAAACGGTCCGTTTTAACGAGTTTTTGGAGACGTCGGTTTAACCGGAAAAACTGTTATCCGGACTGGCCTCGGTCCCGAGGGTCCCGGATAAGAGGGAGTCTACTGTAATCCATTGGATGGCGGATGTGTAAGGGACGTTTAATCCAAGGTGAAACTAATGGTATTTGTAAATTGTATTGTATTATGTGTACAATATGTGGTTCGTTGTATAGACTAAAGAAGGCTGGGAAGTGTGGCTTTGGTGTTTATCTTTGAAAAACATGTTTAAACAGTTTTTAGCATTAAACATTTTTTTGTGGCTACATTTTCTCTTTTACTAGGATGCTAGGCTCTTTCACATTACTTCAGGCTAGGCATTATCATTTAGATAAAATTCACCGGCTTTTGGTGGGACTCGGACCCGGAACCTCAAGTCTGAAGTCCTGCGCTCTACCAGTAGACCTGCTCACTCCCGTTTGTGTGTACACTAGTGGCATGTCCAAACAAAATGCAAACAAAAACAAAATGTTTTGTGGATCACGGGGGATCAAACCTGTCCCTCTCGCACCAAGGTTTTTTTCATTTTGCACGCAAATTCGGTGACATTTTGTTTTTTTTTTTTACATATATGGTTGTTTGTTTCTCATATTTCAAACTTTTTTTGAAATTCCTAAATGAAAGAAAGCCAAGCCACACTCGACGGCCGCTGCATGGTTCGTAGGTTTGGACTAACTGGTGTTTTTTGCCAATAACCAGGTTTTAGCTCGGCTGGTTGGTGTATTGATTTATCTAGTCAACTTCACTGCAAGTACCTTCATCTTGGCAACTTATAACAGGTAAAAACCTAGCTTAGGTAGACAACTGAAGCTTAAAGAGCGAGATTTACTGTTGAAAATCTTATCATTTTGATCAAAATCGCTGTCTTTTATGCTGAAATAGGTATTTGTATGGTCCTGTTGGATTTTGTGTGGCTAAAAGTAGGGATGGGTAAGTTACAGGGATGAGCATCGATAGCTCAACCATCGATGAACTGATAACATTGTCGCAAAAACATCGATGTTTTCAGGGCAAAAACATAGATAATCAATGTTGTATTTTGAGATTTTTTCTGCTTTCTGTCGCAGCTTAATTATCCCTAGGTTGGAAACTAGCTAGACGTTCATAACCTCAACAATGTAGATGGTTATCTTACTGTACTCTTGTCCAGTTTGCAATATTTTTTTAAATTCGACATTTCATCAGCCTTTCAATGGAATAATAAATAAATATAAATAAAAAGTTCAATATCAGTCATGAAAAAATTATGTTTTGATAGGTAGTTGGCCAAAAACATCAATTTTTGACTAAAACATTGATGTAGCCCAACTAAAACATCGGTAGCCTACCATTGATGTAAAATTATCAAACATCGATAGAAAAACAAGTCCATGGTTCTAAGACTATGGATGCTCATCCCTAGTAAGATACAAGAGTTATCCGGAAATAAGTGGGAAAGTTGTTGATTTGACAGCCTTACAAACACTAAATTCAACCTCACCATATGACGCCTACATCTCTGGCCACACATACTAGAAAATACAGTAAACTCCATCTACAATAATGTCAAATTGTTAGTACTGAGAAATAAGTTTTTTTGTGTCCCCTAGGTGAGTTATGCCCTAAAGACTTATTTTGTAGTAGACTTTGCAAATGAATATATGGCATTACCTAAACTAAAGGGGATTGTTTAATCGTCTGAAAACGCTGCTTATTGCAGTAATATTTTTGTACATGTTAAATACCGTGTGTTTTCCAGGTCGGCGAGTCCTGGTCGCAAGTCGCCTCGGGTCGTAAGTCCGATGGAGATCACGTTGCATCTGAAACAACTCAAGATCCTGCAACAGCCGGCCAGTCCGGTACCGTGCCCTGTGCCGGACACGGTACACCCAGTGCCGGACGGCACCACGGAGGCGCCACCAGAGACCCCTCCTCCAATCATACCACAGGTGGGAGTAGCACTGTAGCCAATAAATAGTAACTAAAGCTCGATAGGCTATGCTTAAGTGTCATTAATGTAATTTTCAGGCTTAATGTAAACATCATCTTTAGACCAACAAATGAAAAATGTTGTAGAAAAATCGAACGATTAATGCGAACAGATCCTGAAACATCGAGAACACTTTGGTTTTTTTTAAATCACAATGAAACTTTCTGCAGTAATCTCCTTAGATCAAATAATCCAACCAATAAACTGGAAAGAAATTGACCTTTGAGACAAATTGACAAAAATAATTCAGTTTCTAAGTAAATCAATACAAACGCTTTTAAATGAAAGCAGTCCAAACCTATTGGTGTTTTTGGGATGTGCCGGGAATTGAACCCATCCTTCATGCACCAAAGTCTGAGACGTTAACCTAGGCTAGCAACACATTCAAAATTGGTCAGATATTGGGCATGTCCATGCTGTAGAGGATTCAAAAGTTTATTTTTCCACCATTTTGTTTCTGTTTCAGCCTCCGCCACCGCCCATGTTGTCGACCCTGGTGCCTCGCCTCGGACTAAGCTCTCTTGCTCAACCTTTCGCCCCGAAGCCGAAGGCGTTTCGACCAATCTCGTTTAATCCGACTTCCAACAAAGTTGCTCAAACCGCCATGTAACGATTTATATATTTATCGGTGTATTATTGTATGTAAATTATTTTATGATTATGTACAATTGAATTATATATAATGTATAAACATGTAAATAAACTGTAAGTTCTGTGGTTTCGGTTGTTCTTTAACATCTGTTACTTTATTGTCGATTAACTCTTAAAATCTTGTTTCTTTACTAATTGTATGAAATATACAACTGTACGTAAATTGTTGTTTTATATAAATACCTACCTTTATGCAGATATTTTTCCTAGCTACAAAATTGTTATTAATATGAAATATAATAATCCATTTTGATTATGGGAATTAGAAATTCACTCTAGAGATTAGACAACAATTGCAGACTTGCAATGAATTTGCTGCTATATAGTTGCTGGCTAAATATGGCGAAATATTTTCATTTCAAAAATTGTTTATAAAAACTTCTAAAAGCATAGAGCCAATGAAACCTCTTAAAAGTTGTCTCAAAGCTACTTTTGAACTTGATATTTCAAGAAAGGTTTACAACACTATTTCTTTTACCAGATTTAAGTTTCTGAGAACTATAATGCGTGTTCATAAGATCTGGACGTAGCTAAATATGTAGAATGGTATGGCCACAGGCTTAGATGATTTTTCAGAATTCATCAAATGTTCCAGTTCAGGTATAATGAAAAGTGACGTTTTACAGTGTCAACATCATATTTTGAAACTTGTGAAATCCCTGGTATTTTTAAAAGGTTAACAAATTGATACTGAATTTAAACCCTGAAAAAAGTTACATCAGCCTGAGAGCTACCACGTATTACCCTTCTTAACTTCTAAGCATTTGCTAAATTTGGGGATGTTCTGAAGGGAAGTACTTGAGACAACTCGAGTATGGTTTTCGCAGAAGTGAGCTATTTATCCGTTTCTGTTTGGAAATTAAGCTATCATGTTTAAAACCCGGCTTCCTTCTACATTACTAAATACTCATTGGTTGAAATTGCAGTCAATGACAGTGAAATAATAACTTTTTATAATTAAAAAAAGGTCATTGAGTGATTGAGTACTCAACTTTTAATAGTAACGAATTTTGAAAAGGAATACAGTTCAGCTAGCTTGCCTGAGAAAATTAGAGTCAAGAGCAATACACAACACACTAGATTAATAGATACACAATAAAATAACACAAAACATAACACTGGTATTTTGTCCTTTTGAAGATTTCTTTAAGGATGAAGAGGAATTAAGTTGTCAGTTGTTCAACAAAACTGGAGTGATCTTCATAGTTGCCAACTTTGGCCACCGAAAAAAGTCTAGACACTGATACTATACTATACAAAAACACATAAAAGGATTTTACTAAACAAACTAACAAAGCTACCTTCAATCTACATTTGAAATGGATTTTGAAATTGAATTACTTATCAGCTGATGGTGTTTATTTTTCATCCCACCAATGTTTGTTTTGGTTGGTCTTATTTGTTTTCTGACATAGAATTTTATTTATACTAACTCAGATATTCTTAAGAGTGATTCTAGATTCAAAATGAAAGGAAGTTTGAAAACTTTAAGAATCAACAACCATTCAACTAAGACAAACTTCAATGATTGGTCAGATCCAAAGTACACAATACCTTGTAAGAGAGAGACTTCAATCTTTGATGGTAAAACTTCCTTACCATCAGAAGCAGAGCTGAGTGATAAAGATGATGTGAGGTCAATTACATCCAATACTTATGTTGAACTAGGAGAATTACGACATAGGATAAGAACAGGATCTCCCCTGATGACCAAAAAAGAAGTGAGAGAGTACAGACTACCGTTTCATGAGAGTTTACTTCTCAATTTAAAAGATGATGGGTTTTTGTTGACCCATGAGTTTGTCAAAGACCTGATTGCTGTTGATGAAGCATATCACAAGGAACCAGGAAGGGATAAAACGGAGAAAAGAAAAATTTTGAAATATACTAAATCTGCACTGGTTCCACTTGCCAATGGATTGATGAAGGCTGAAAGTTCTCGGTTGAACGAAGAAAAAACCCAAGAGGCAACAGCATTTCTAGATTTGGCAACGTACTTTGGCAACTCCGAAAATTCATGGTCTTGGATCGCTCTTGAGATGTTCGAACAATGCATGGAAGTGATGAAAAATATTGAACAGCCTGACCCTCAGTTACAAGCGATTTCTAAACATTTATACGGTTCTTTTTTGTTTTACAAACAGCAAGATTTTAACGAAGCAAGAGCTCAAATAGAAAGCTCAATGGCCTTGTCTGAAGGTAAATATTGGAAAGTCGGTGAAACAGAGACAAATCTTTACCTTGAATCTTGTGGTCTGCTGCATAAAATATTTCTGGAAATGTCTCAGAGAGAATTGATCCGTGAGAATATAGAGGAAGCGATACAATTGTGTAGAAACAGTTTACTCTGGGCTAAGGTTATCAGTGACAAGTCTGCTGAAGCTGATGCGCTGCACAAGTTGATTAAGATTTATCTGTCAGCCCAGCTACTCAACTCAGTCCCAGAGCTGCTGGAGTGTTACATGAAGCTTTGTACAGAACTAGGAAATGTCCAAGGCCAGTGTGAGGGTTACATCCTGAGTGCGAGATACAACAGTTATGTTGATAACAAGTCCAATGTCATCGAAGACATGAAAAATCTCTTAAAAATTGCAACAGAAAACCACATAACAAAGATGGTCGCTTTAGCCCATCACAAGTTGGCCTCGTACAGCCTACTGGCAGGATCAGATCAAGAACTGCTTGAACATTCCATCAAAGCTTACATGTCCTATTTGAATTTGAATGCGAATATGAAAGAGAGAGATGAGGCGAAATGTCTTGTTGGAATCGCACAGGGTCAGCAAATGGTGAAAGCCTATTGCAATTTAGTTTTCGAAGCTGACAATAACAATATTAAGCAACAATCTAGCTTGTTTCATTGGAAAGATTTGAGAATACCGTTCTCTGAGCATAAACTTGAGTTGATACCTGAAATATCTCCAAATGTCAACCTTTTGGAAAGAGTGGAATGGAAGAGAGCAGAAGAAAATTTAGATCGAGTCCTTAGACGGCAGTCGATATCAATGATGACTTCAAGAAGAGCTTCGACGATTATGTTTCGTCCAATACGTCCTTCCCATTCTAATACCACACACACAACCATAGCAAAAGACAGGAATCAAACGGTAAACGAGCAAACATTTAAATCGTCCAATTCAACCATAGAAGAAACTAAATACAGAAGCATTAGTTTCTTGGATAACAGCCAAAATATACAATCTGCCTCAGAATTAATTGAACAAGATTAAATATGCTTGCAGTGTATGCTTGGATGCAATTCATTTAGTTGTTTCTTGTAATTCTTGTAAAAACTTTGTATTTTACACTGGAGGTTTTGTAGTGATTGGGGTAGGCCTACATATCCAAGTTTTTTTTTTTTTTTAAGTTTTACCTACCATAAGAATTTGATTCAGTTACCGGTACTATTTTCTCACTTAAAAACTACGATATTTGGTGGATCGGACGTACCCAAAAACAAAATGTGTTCAACATTTTTCCTTGTGCTCTATAACCGTATTCATTGAAAACAACTGAAAATTAAAACTTCCAAATTCATGGTCAAATTCTTAAGACTAATAGTTAGACTAATAGGTGCATACAAAATCAAAGCACAGGTTAGTCACAGCCACTAAAACCACTGCATTTTTCACTTTCCTCTTTTAGGTGGCTAAAAAAATGCACACAAAGGTCTTAAATAGTGATTGATTTCTGCTTTAGTTGCTTTATTTATATTTTAAAATGTCACTAACAAGTATTTCATTAAAATATAGAATATTTTATTCTACTGACATTGACTACAACTAAGTAGAAAAACCATGATTTTTGTTGAAAATTCAGGTTGCATAATCTTGTACCTATGTTTTTATTAAAATAGCATCTGTCTACAATTTTCATACAAAGAGGCATTTGTTCACTTGAATTAGTTTGCTAAACAGCAGTTTTTTCAATAACTCAGCTTTTGTTGTTAACTTTTGCTAAGAGGGTTCTATCCGGTCAAGTCAAGATGGCGGCTAAACATGCCTCTACAGTACAAGCTCTCAACACTCTAAAACTAATTTGTTTCCAATGATTGTGTGCTCTTAACACATCAGAGCTTGCAATTGATGGGGATAAATTATTAATGTTTAACTATTATTTAGAAGCTAAAATGACTCATGAAAAGACTAATTTACAGATTTTCAAAGTGATCTTGTAAATACTTTAAGCTTTAAGAAACAATTATGAAGTTTCATCCGATATTTTACAGTTTATTTCATCTCGATAAACACTTAAATAATGCCACAAGGTTCTTTTTTGTAGAACCATGTGGTAACCAGCCGGGTGGAACCCTCTTGAAAAGAGAAATTAATAGAAAATGGAACACTTCCTTTTCTCAATGCCATAATACCTCTTAACCGTTTAACAAGTTAGATTTAGGCATGTAACTGTTGCAACCAAGTTCTGGTACTTATTATTTTTTTCATTTTCATTGAGGATGAGTTTGACAAATTGAAAACCTCTGGTGCTTGCATTGACCTAGGTGAACCTAACCTATGGTCTTCTCAAATCCGGCATATATTTATGTGAACACAAGTTTTTGCTTATAGCTTATATTTTCAGTCAAAACTGGTAAACTTATGACCAGTATAGAAACTATAATTCATTATCAAGGCAATACTTTTTTTAATTATTGTTCTTTTGTGAACAAGTAGACCTAATTTGAGGGTTGTAAATTAAGGTCCCCATGGAGCTCACAAAGGAGCTAGGTCAAATCCAAGACCAATGTGGTTTTCCTTACTTAACTCACAACCATTCTAGGTCCCAACCTTGTGGAGAGGATTATTCTTGTCGTATTTAATGACATTCAAGTGCATCAATATTTTTCTATTGTTTAAAGAAGAGCTCATTTGCTTACTTGTTGCACAAATGACTATTTCTCTTTCAATTCTAAATACTTTGCAAATTGCAAATATTGTACTTTGTAAGTTGCAAATCTCAAACTGAATCAAGAGGGTGAATAATCGAGACAGGACAGAAAACAATACAAATTAACGCAATAAACTTTATTGTTTCGTATTTTACAATAAAACCGAAGTTATATATTTTTACAATCTATTCATTAGATAAACCTTTTAATAACACTCTCTAAATATATTCTTATTTATCTTTACAGTCTCTTTAACCTATTTACTAAAAGGCTACGACTAATGGTAAGTTAAACAAAAGAAAGTTCTTACATGTTCAAACATAAGATTTGAGTTCTAAAAACAGCCAATCCTGTTGCAAACAGTTTTAAAAATCAAAAATTATTTTTAAAAAAACGTGATAAAATACAATTGGTTTTATCAAAATTCCAATGTTTATGCATCATTCGGGATGATTTGTCAGGAACAGAACTGTTTACAAAAAAATATCAAAACACAACCAATAATAAGTAAACATTTCCAAAATGCTACCCAAAATCAAAATCTCGCAAGATTACTATGGGTACGAATTACCTCAATAAAAGACAAATACAACTAGGAAATCACTAAGATGTTTTAAATATTGCTGATCCAAGCTTTTCAGAACCACGATGCAATTGAAATCACAAACTTCAGACAAATACACAAATCTTCAGAGGTTTGTCTTTCTCGAGCTAACTTAACATCCTAATAGTAAAATAGTAAGCGTATTTTATGTTAAAAATCACGACTGGTAATCCGTCCGACACCAGACACATACCCACTGATGTATTTCCGCTGATCTATCGCTATATACAATTGTAACTAAAATCGATGTCTTCCTAAAAGTTTTTCTAAAAACGTTGATGAAAAAAGTAACGAATCCGCTCAGTACAAAATTGTTGGAAAAGAGGTGGAAATTAATTAGCTATGATATACACTCTTTGGCCAACGTCGCTATATTGCTTGAAGTGTATGGATGTCGAAGTTTCACGCCAGTGTTGTAGTCTTTACGTTCGGTCAGTCTGTACGCTGCTCTTCTTGCTGCTGGACGGCGGAGTCAGGAGGCAAGACTTGGCAGCTTCTTCCAGTGCTGAGTCCTAGGGAAGAAAATATGTTTGAAACAAATCTTTGACTTACACAACTAGACGTTCCATCACGTGTTGAAGCTGTCACCAGCATTTTAATCAAAATGGAGTTTGACATCAACTGAGTTCAGCTGATGAATACACCAACATTTCAACCAAACTTAACTAATAGGATAACTTACTGTGAGCTTTAGCATGTCACATTACCTATCTCAGCAAAAACAAAGGGAGAAAAGTGAATTTACGATTGCAGGGAACTGTAGAATTTTCTACTCAGTCTTGCTGAAGCTTCCATCTTATGCAAATGTGTCCATTATTTGTTCCTATGAGTGGTATTTTTTGTGGTTTTCCAGCTATATGGCCGAGTTTACTACATTTGGATGTGTGACGCATAACTTACCAGCAACGGAAGATTGACAGGGTCATGCTTCTGAAGGTTGAAAGAGTCGTCCACCAACGCAGCCTTCGTAATCCCAGGGGGAAGTCGAGAATACTTCTTGGAGTATTCCGTGTTCTCATCCTTCAGCGTTTTCCAGAATACGGACATCCAGTCGACACATGGCATTATATCTTCCTCTGCCAAACCTATGACATACACGATAATTAGGCCTACAAAAAAAACTATTCTACTACACTAATTATTGACAGTTAGCTTCATCATGATGTCACACACCATTTTATTCAGTACTAGTGTTTCTCTGACTCTGAATTAACATGATTTAAATGACCTTTTACAATCAAAAAGGTCACAGAGCATGAGGTAGCGATATGCAAAAACTATTTCTTGTGCTACCAATAATAATCATGAGGTATTGCCGACAAATTTAGGATGCAACTGGGAATATTTTAATCAAAAAATTATTAAGGGATGAGGGTAGAATTTAGTAAACGCTCTGTGAAGCATTCTAACTAAAATTAAGACCAGCTGTTTCTGTATCGAGGATCATTTATTAAGAACCAAATGATCAAGGACAAGTGGTCAAGTTTCAATCATCAAAAACTCACTGAAATTTCCCAGGATCGAACCAGCGACCTTGTATTGGGCAGGCTCAAGGCACTGTAACCACATAGCTTTCCAGCTATTTGGTGAGACTAGAAAATAAAATATATTTTCCTTCTTTGATTTAATATTTCAATTTTTAAAACTTCTAACAAATTTTCACTTATTTTCAGGATGGACGAGTCTAGGAATATACAGTTGGAAAATTCCAAAAGTTTTCACGTCCATAACATATATTTCCTGGAATTGATAGTTTGTCAGAAATCAGTAATTTAGATAAGCACACTCTGTTGCAACAATGTATGGAAATTAAATATCTAGTGTAGGCGATAGTGAAAGCTGTAACCTGACTTTACAATGACACTCATAACGTAAAAACTAAAAAAAAAAATTGTAGTTCAGACAACTACTTCCTTGGTAAAGAATTTTCATTTACAAAAATTTAGGGAAGGTTGGGGATGTTTTGAACCCTACTGAACCATGAAATTTTCAGAAGATAAGAATATCGGGGATATCTGGAAGTGAACGTAAGGTAGACATTTCCGACTCACCTGAGACTTGAACGGCCAGCTCTGTGCTACAGGCGAGGTAGATCGCCGCGGCCGCCAACACACTGTAGGAAAACCTGAGGGATCCAACGTCCAAGGTACAAAAGTCCAGCAGCGTTGCCACCCGCGTGTACAGCGTCGGGGAGAATTGGGGAAAGTAGAATCCGAGGTCGTGGCGAGCCTGGTTTTGATATGCGATTTGCAGAAACACCTTCAGCCAGTAAAGGGGTGTCACGGGGTTCAGCAGCCAGCCCAACGCCTACCAAACAAACACTTGGTTAGAGGAATTAGTTGTAAAGAAAAACAGGCAGCTGTAACCCCTGAGCTTTTTAGAGATGGACTACTTCAAGCATGTGACTTTGGACGATAGTGCCCTAGTCCAAAAAGACAAATTAATTATCAATTATTGAGATGGGGATGCCACCTAGGTACGTATTTAACCAAATATTCACTCATCCTAAGAGAAGAATGAGTGTAAAATGGAGTGAGATGATCTGTGTGGCTTGTTACTGACCAAGTCCAGCTGTTTCATCAGCTAGGATCATTCAATTTAAAGCCCAAAAATTCATCAATGAAAGTGTTCATGGACAGCTGAGTCCAGTTTTGAATCATCGAAAAGCTACTAACTTTTCACAGGATCAATATACAACACCTACCTCGCAGACTACTAATTCCTTGGCAAGAATTTCCGCTTCACTGCATGCCCCATCCGTTACATAAGCAAAATCTACCATTTTTGGTGGGTAAATTTCTTCATTTTTGGCGGCTAGTTGAAGACATGTGATACCTGAAAAATTCCATGATCGTGTTATTGAAATGCCATGACGTAAAGTAATCTTATATAAAACTTGACAAAGACTGATTTTGTTGTATCACCACTTTTAAAGTAATAATAAAAATAATAGTCATTGATTTATTGTTTACTGTTTTAGTTCAACCTTAAACTAGAGGTGTGCAGTCTGAGATTTTCAATTATTTTAAATATTTGGTTACATGTATATAGGTCTAATATCATATAGTAAGTGTGGTGATGTTTTAAGCTAGTCACAAACATTCTTCATAAAAAAAACAATTCAATGTAATTATTTTTTTTTTTTACATTTATTACATTTTGTAATCATGTTGACAAAATTTTAATCTCCAGCCATCGCCTCAAAATATTGAAAACCTCCTGTGGTCACCGAAACATCATCATTGTCTCCTATGATTACGGAAATGTTATTGTCATCATGTGCAATCGCGGAAAAAGAGTGAATTTTTAGACCGTTCGATTTTGACAGGGTCGGCTTGAAAATTGAGCCAATCGCACACCCCAAACTTATATTTAATCACCTTGTTGACTACTTTCGGTGACTCACCTATCAGTTGAAGTTGTTGTTTCGGAATGTCAGTTTGAGAGGAGAGATATCGGTCTATGTAGTCCAGCGTAAGATGATACGTTTCCCTATGCAGTTTGTACACTTCACAAACCTGGAGAAAAAAATAAAAACAAAATAAAAATATGGTGGAAATCTTTTCTTCTCAGAGAGTGAGATAAAAAGTTACTGTGTTCCTATTTTGAACTCATTAATTGATATGTAGACAAGAAGCTCTGATGTAGATTACTGATTTCTGTTACCCTAACATTATCGATCAAGCCAAACGGATAGGACGACTAGTTGTAAGCTAAAGCATATTGTATTTCACATAAGCTATTCAAACTTGATTGCTTTTAATAAAAATAGCCTACAGTTAATCCATAATCATGACTCTAATTCAGTATGCAAAAATCAACGGTTTCTACTTGTGTGTAAAATCAACATTTACCTCCATAATCCAGTCTAACAGTACGGAGCGCATGCGGAACTGTAGACTTGGATGTTGTGCGAACAATTCCGAGTCCCGTAACTTGAGGCTCTCTTCGTCTTTGTCGCACATGAGTTGCCACAGCGTCGGCAGGTCGGCCCAGGACATCGGGGGGAGGGGGTTGAGCCTGTCCAGCCTTAGGTCCTCGTACTGGTAGTTACTGCAACAAAATATAACCTCTACTTAATTGAAAAATTGATGCCTTACTTTGTTTACCAACAATTTGGTAGAATTATAAAACAATATTGGACTAACCCATTAATATCCCTCTTTTACCATCACCGAGAAGTATTGGTGGGTAATTTCTAATAACATCAATAATAGTTTTTAGTTTGTTGGTACTTCTTCAACTGGTAAGTACTGCTACAAAACATGGCCTCTGCTTGATTATTACGCAGAGATCCTCAACTTTAATCACTAAAATGTTTATTTTAAATTGATTAAGAAATATTCAATTGGACCTTTGATTGTAATCTATCACCTCATACCACCTTTTATGTGTATTTACCGTCTTGTGAGTCAACAGTATAAGTGTAAATGTATTATTACAAACGTCATTAGACATATTTTTTCGGACTTTCGGATTAAAATTTATTCCCAAAGTCAATGCTCTACTGTACCACTATTTCAGTGGTAAGTCTATACCGGTTTTGATTTGTTTAAATCGGTTCTTAAGGATTTTATCTTCATTTATAAAGCAAATAAACAACTTCAATATCTTGTTTCAATCCTGAATTTAGGTCTTAACTTAGAGATTTATCAAAACAGATAGCAAAACAAATATCTCATAATACATTTCTGTTACATACACAACACTCAATTAGTTAATTATAAACATAGAAATGTAATCAATTAATTGTTAATACAACATAAAACATGAAACCAAAATAACATCAAATTAAGGAGTACATGCTACACAAAAAAATGTGATTTAATCAAATTGTTCAAACCTAACGATCCACACATAAAAATACCATCAAAATACTAAACAACTCAATAACAATTTACACAAATAATGCTAGTTTCACAAAAACAACGATACATGACAAACAAATACCTCAAAGGCAATTTATATTCCCTTGAAAGACCTGAAATGTAAAGAAAGTACTGAAAATAATTTATTACATAACATTACAGTAACGTTAATTGCCTAACAGCATAGGGAAAGGAATTTAGCAGATTTGTAAGGGTCAACAAAAGTCAGCTGAACAGCTAGTTTGAGTAAGTAAATGTCTACTAAAATTGTTATAGCTATTTACAGATTGATGTTGGTTTAACATCTCTATATTTACAACCATACAAAATTATGAGGTAGCAATGATATCCCATTCTTCAAGTTGTTAAGAAAAGTTAGCAATTGATTTCAAAATTAAATTTCAATATGCTTACTAAGAAATTGATCCAATGTTGAGGCCCAGATTCACAATTAATTTGCTTTTCACTAAGGATGTTTTTTTAACATAAAACTTAAAACTAATAAAAAGTAGTAACTTGATATGTCCTGTTGTATCTTTATGACATAGTGCAGGATTTAAAACGTTTGCGGTTCTAGGCCAAATTAATTTAAACAGCCTCTGCCCTTTAGAATTTACTTGTGATCCCAGCAAAATTGTAAACATGTCCCCCAATCACAGGGACATTGTCAGTTGTTTTGGTACAAAATGCTACGACCCAAGGTCGTGTTGATGTGGGTGTGACCTAAAATAAAAGGGTAGGTAGCCTCATACTGTGAGGACGGCGGGTTCGATCCCGACTTATCCACAAAGAGAGGTTCACCCCACTTAACCATGGCTTAAAATGCCACTGGTGTCAACACTATAGTTCTCACCTAAGGGCTTGGACGCTGGAGGTACCGGGAGTGAGTGGGCAGGGAGACGCTGACGGACTGAGATCTGACAACCTGGCGACATCGCAGGAGCCGAGGGGAGAATTTGTCTCTACGTCTGACAGTGACAGCCTGTGGGAAAGATACAAAGTTGAATAACACAAACCGCAAACTGAAAACCCAATAGTTTGGATTTCTCAGTGTACCTAAAAGGAATTTGAAGTTCCATAACCCAGAATTGGTGTTAATTACAATCCTGTAATTACTGCAGAACTGTGTTTACTGCAGAACTTGGTAACTTCATTCATAACTACAGTACATTGCCTTTGCTATTAGCAACTAGCACTAAAACTCTCGATTATCCACGATAATCAGTGGCTAAGCGATCGTAGATAAAGATAATGCAGGCCTAATCTAAAATGCCCAGGAAATAGCTAACATTCACTTTTTCAACAAAGTTAAATTTATGTATTTAATGTTATAAGTGTCTTTGAAATGCTTCTTAACTTGAGAAAAACAAGAATAATATCCTATATTATGTATCAGTTTTGTTTGGGAAGAAGTTAGATAATGTAATCACTGTGTAGGCTACACTATGCCAATGCCTTATTCATATATTTATCATCAAAATAGTGATGTGAGTTTATTTTAGAGCCTCTAACTTTACCATTACCTACTGTTCATTCACATACTGTACTGTTTACAATCACAGACAAAACTAAATACTTAAAAGCCGCATTTACACCAGAGTTAAAAACGCGTGTTTAAGACATAATCAAAAGAACGCTAATATTTTACAATACTTGTATGTTTTCAACAATGTTTGAGTGTTCACTAGAGGAATTTTGTTTTCCACCAGAGGTTGACAACATATCATAGTGTATTGTAAACATTTGAGGTCACTAAGCCGCCAACACATAGTTAAACATCAGAGTTGACGATCAAATGTTTAAAACGTTCTTGAACAGCTGATGTCAATAAAAGTAAACACATAGTTGTTCACTCCAATGTAATCACAGCTTATAAGTAGAAAAGTATGCCTACAAGATTAAAGAAAGTCATTCTCAAATTGTATATAAACCTACCTCTCCTGGTCTGACACGAGGGATTCGATGTTTGAGTCTTTTACGATCTTGAGTTCGGAGAACGGCTGTCGGCGTTCTCCTTCCCGCTCAAAGGAACAACTAGCTTCAACACGACTCTGCAACACATAGGAAAATTATTTACATCAATCGTTGCTTGAAGACAGACGAACATATTTTTAGACTAGGGCATCACAATAAGGTAAAGTCAGGGGTTTCTTGGCTTAATTTGGCTGCCAAAAACAGCTGCTTTTTTGCACCAACAGAAACTACAACACTTCACAGTACAAGCTTTTTCCTAGCCGCTAAGCAGCCAAGGAAGTCTGTGCCTAAAAGACTTGCATGACATTCACTACTCCGCAGGGTATTTGGCAGTAAGATGTTGAAATATTACATATTTATTCATTATAATGAAGACAGAAAATATTATGGGTAAAGGACAGAGGTACAAATGGGTTAAAAGTAAAGTCGATCTCAAAATCCTACATTTCTTTTGTACTTTTGATTGAGTTGGAAAAATGAATGCAGTTGATCAATTTAAGCCAGCATTACAGTGACATTATAAGTAGAAAAATTCTACGAGTCCTTTATCTACAGAAAAAAAATTACTCGTACACCTCCACAACTTACGTCATCTTTGTACTTCTTCTCCTCATTTTTTGGCAGATTTTCTATGTCTTGGTCTTCATCCTGTTAAAACACAAGCACAAATTGTAAAGTAATGTAGGCTATGTTATTTCGCATTCTTTTTTCAAGAACCATATTTAAAAGGGATGTAAGAAATTAAACTTTTAAAATTGATGAAGGCCTAGTAGAAATAAAGACATATATATTGTAGTCTTCTTTTATACAACTACGATTCTAATTAAATGTATTCAATGAAAATATTTTAAGAGGTCAACAGGCTTGCATTTGCTTTTCTTATAGGCCCAGGGCCTGTACGTGGAACGTATCCAGCAAAACAACGTGCAGCCATGAGGTGAACCGGTACTGTAAAAGAGTGAACTTTTACTCGTAAAATGTCTGGCGAGCACCATGATGCAAAACCATGAAATCTCTACCTAGGTGCCTAGTCCGTTGCGCTATCACCTAACTCATCATTTCACCAAATAAAATTTATTGATCCATATTATTAGAGTGTTAGTAGTGAGCCGAAAATCTTTGAATTTTTGAGGCAAAGTGAAGAAAGTAATAACAGTAGCCAATGGTATGGTATACTTACAGACTTATGTTCTGATGAAAGCCTCTTTCTCTTCAAGTTTGAAGACTGGCAACTGGAAAATGATAAGGTTAAGTTGCGACTCCTCTAAAAATAGTTAACCCTTATTTTAAAAAAGTACAGAAGTCCCTATGTACAGGTCTTAGGACACTTGGCTCTAGCAAACGTTTGTTTTTCACATTTTTTAGGCTAGGCCTAAAGGTTGCAGCATCATCACTTTTTATTGGTGATTTGGCCGGATTTGAACTCAACCGCAGAGTCCCGCACTCTGCCACTAGACCAGCTCGCTCCCCTTTAGGCCTTACCATATAGACTATGCTAATACTATTAGCCAATAGCCTATACGGAAATCCTCCAAACTAGGTACAGCTATGTATGTTGTGAGAATTTGAACGTAAGCTTTGTTCTAGACTTACTTTCAGCTTTAAAAATTGTTGTTCAAAAGTTAAGTTTGTTAAAAGTATAAAACTTACCTTGAGGAAAGCATGTCGTCGCTAGATTCGTTTGGATCAGACTCCCTGCAAACAAACGTTTTATTAACATTTTGTTACATCTACGTTCATTTGGGTGGATATATAATGCGTTCTCTTACATATCTAAGGACAGCCATTTACAACAAGGCTGAAAATTTTAGTGTTTGTTTATAAAGTTACTTAGAACAGTTCAGGTCATATCTAATGCAATAACAGATCAAATTTACATAAAAACCACTTTCAAAGAAAAATTTTACAGATAATTTTTAAATTAAAAATGAGAAAGGATACTTCTACAAAATACTTGCACATTTTTTTAAATCTTTATTTTTCCGACTTAGAGTGGTGAAGGATCTTAAATAACCCTCGGTTCTGACGTAATTAAAGAATTTATTATTTTCTGAGTTAAAGAAAGGTACTCCTACAGATGAGTCCCCGTCAATAATTTAATGAGAACCACCTCTAATAATTGGTGGAATTTAAAACGGAATAATGTGCTCCGATCAGAGCATAACCCTTCCCAAGGGGCGGCTGCAGAGCAAAGCCCTACTCACTATGCAACAATAATTTGGTTGGGGTTAAAAAAACTATTTTGAATTGTTGATGTTTTCCACTTCTATCTAATGGTTTAAGTTCAAAATAATTACTTAAAATTTGTATGACCTTAATTGTTGCGTATACGTTCAACACTCACTAAGGAATGCATTGATCTGTATGGATAAGTCTAACACTTGTAAACTTTGATTACGAAAATCATTTTACATGTAATAAACTAAAAAGGTTAATGAGCTTTTAAAAGTTATTAAACCGGAAGCTACGAGGGATGTTGTTGAGAAAAAGAGTGAAAACCTTGGGTCCTGTTACAAAAAATAGGAGAGAATTCGAAGAGCAATGAAGCTGAATCTTACAAGGTATAACACTGTGGTACTACAAGCTACTCCATTTCCCAAAAGACCAGGAAACTGCAAGAAGGTGTTTAAACTCCAACAGCCATCCAAAATCATAGTTAAAGAGAACAGAACAATCCTGGCCATTGGAGATGTAGACAACATAGGCCTACCCAGAAAAAAATATTTTTTTCTTTCTTCTAGGTTTTAGCCCGGAATTGTTTACCACATTACTTCAAACTAGGTCTAGATGCGGTCACGACATTATCACGTAGATAAAATCCATTGGTGATTGGCGTGATTTGAACCCTGGACCATGGGAACCGAAGTCCCATACTACTCCACTACTAGACCAGCTGGCTCCCCAAAGTTATTAATATATTCCGTTTTTCTTCCCAATAACATGTAGGCTAAATTGAAATAGTCAAAACCAGTTGTGTATAGAAATTCCACCTCACAAATGTAACTTAAGCCCCCATCAGAAATGCCACTTTCTATTCTATTAATGAAATAAACTATTACACTGCCTTGTGAGATTATTTTTTAGTACTACTTTGCTAAACTGTTTTACGCCAATGCCTCATTGATATATTTACAATCACAATATTGATGTGATGAGGTTTATTTTTGAGCCTCTAACTTTACCATTACCTAACTGTCCTTTCACATACTGTACTGTTTACGATCATAGACAAAACAAAATACTTAAAAGCTGCATTTATGCCAGAGTTTAAAATGCACGTTCAGCTGGTACATTTAGGTTTTAGTATGTAATGGGGCAGAAGTGAGATATTATAGTCAGAACGGGGTTGTGAACCTCTATTTTAGTAAAAACCCTTTAATGTCAAAGTTATTGAAAACCCTCCAAACATTTGCAAAGCGGCTTGGGACATAATATCAATTATTTAAGATGTGGACGCCACACCACTATGTGAGTATTTTAACCCAAGTATGAGTGAAGGATGAGTGGCGTGATTTTGTAGTCATAGTGACTAATGCCGACGTGTTCCTTAGACACAGCTGTTAATTAATAGCCCATACAGCCAATGGCAACTAACACCGGGGCCACGCTCATCTTATCTCGCTGAATTTTTCCCACGGACGTTTCTAGTTTTAACCTGTCTGATTTACTGTGTAGTGAGCGTGGAGGGGGGAAGTGCGTATCACGGACACGGAAGATTTTTATTGCCAGTTTGGCATGCTCTATCAGTCTCACTGGTTAGCCCGAAAAACCTATCTCGTAAGACTAGTGTGGCCACGGCCAAACTCTTCTACGTGCGTCGCACATGAAAACAGAAAAACCAATATTGCTGGTAAAAAATTACAAGTATGGCCCCGGCCTAAGGGACCTACAGTGTATAGTGGAATCCGAAGCACATTTTTCCTTGTTATTAACGATTTGGTCTATAGTCCTACCACTTAGAAAAAAAGCACCCATCTGTTAGAGTCGCGCAGGTAGAGAATCAGACTGGTGGAGAAAGACCCCTCGCCCCACGGCAACGACTTATCCCCACCACCGTTCCAGGCCCTTCCCCGCCATCACCCCTACGTTCGCGAGACAGCCATTGTTCTGCGCAGGTTCTTTTTAAAGTTGTAGGCCTATTATTATCAAAATAGTATTGCGGATAGTCATAGTACTCACTAGTGCGGACGTTAAATCCGCACCCACAGTGCATGCCAATAAATATCCATAATTCGTGACCTTGTAGCAGGATTAAAGGATGACGCCACCGTCCCAGTCAATGTATAATAAGGCAACATAGGCCTAATAACCTGTTTGTCCTTATCAGTTTTAAAACTTTTTTATAGCACTGTACTTCTTCAGATAGTCTATGGTTTGCCTGCGGTGACTTGTGACCCATTGAGCTTATTGATGGGCTATAGAGCATAGGCCCACTCTTGATGGATGGAGGGAGGTGAGTCCTGTTGAAGTTATTAAAATAGTTAAAAATTTAAGTTGTCAAACAGCCAGGACATATGATGTTTCCTGTAGGACTTTGAGGCCATTGCTGTTACAGTTTCCTGATCCACTGAAGGTGGCAAAAACCGACCCTATCCACAAGAAGGGCGACACAGGGAACTTGGCTATCGCCCCATTTCAGTCCCCCTAGTTATTTCTAAGGTGCTAGAAACTAAAAAATTCAACTAACCAACTTTTTGGAATCAAACCATCATCTCAATGAAAATCCAACATTTAGGAAAGGTTGCTGTCCCTATTATCATTCTGCCCTATTATCATTAGTCACAGAAATTACAGACTCCTTTGAAAATATTGACATTCTGGCCTTAACCATATGCGACTTGAGTAGATCCGCTCTAGAGAAGTTGGAAATCTCTGGCTGCAGGGATGTATTACAGGGTGTTCCACAGGCCTCTGTTATTGTTAATCCTGATAAATGACCCAAATCTTGATGGCAAGACTCTGCTCTTTGCAGAAGATACCACTTTGGTTGCATGAGCAAATAACTTAGGAGTTATAATATAGGCAGACGCAAAAGAGTGGTTCACAGCAAACAAACTCCAACTAAATGCAAATAAGACTCGATTTATGCATTGCACTCTTAAGTGAAATCTTCCCGAGGAATTTGATGACCCTGCGCAGCTTTTAGGTCTCTGGCAGGACTCTAAATTAACCTGCAGGTCTGAACTAAGTTGTCAAGAGTGATGTGTATGCTGAGGAAGCTAAAATATGTTGTTACTGGAGATACTTGATTGATGACTACCACACACTCTTTCGTAGCCATATCTCTTATGGTATTGTACTATGGGGACATTCGCCAGCATGCTCCAAAATCCTCCTTCTACAAAAGAAAGCCCTTTGTATTATTACGTCGGCTGATTATCTTGCCCATAGTAGGCCTATTGTCCAACAACTAGGTATTTTGATGTATGGCAAGTCTTCTGATTTTCATACCTATTTCAGAACAAAGATAACATCTCATGCTAAGCAAAGCGGCTTGACATTCACTCATACTCTAGGAGAGAGAGAGAGAGAGAGGGAGAGAGAGAGGGAGAGAGAGAGAGAGAGAGACATTGACATCCCCCCCTGCAGACTCAAAAATTCTACATAGCGTTCCTGCATCAGCTACAAGATATTACAATAGCCTTCTGGAGGAGATTAGGCAAATGGACAAATCCAAATTGAGGGAAGGAATTCATAGAAGACACGTCAAATAGACCTATCTACTCACTGGTCAAGTATGGCGGCAAAATGCAAATGTAAAAATTATGACGAAGCCTGGCCCAATCTATCTTGAAATCCAGTCAAAGATGAAGACATCAAGCATCAAGTATCAAGCCATCATTTCTCCTAAGCATAATATCAAGAGCATTACAAAACGAAATCCATTTATCTTAAAAAGAACCTTAAGTTTGCCTTGTAGGAAAAACAGACAGTGCGGACCTTTATGAAGGAAATTTTGTACCACCAACATTTAGATCTGGGCCAAAATAAATTAGAGAGATAAGATTGGGTTAAGCATTTGATATTGGTGTGCCAAAAATATGTGCAAAACCCTTCTGCAGGTACACAAGTCATCATCGCAAAAGCATTCCACATATCCGTCAATACTGAGTTAATGATTGATATTATTCGATCACTTACTTTAAAAAATTAAACCTTGTGATGAAAATGATTTTACCTAAAAACCACTCTCTGAAAATAGTTAAAAAAAAGAATACAAAGTCGTTTAACATTAGTTAAGAGAGAATCGCCATGTTGTTCCTAAAATACCTTCGGGTATGCATATTTAAATGATTGACCTACCGATGCACATTTTTTATTAACAACATCTAGAAGTAGGCTAGCTTGAAAAATAGTAAAACAGAAAAAATAAGGCTGAATATAAGGACACCAAGCAAGGCTAGGGATGTTAGGTACAGAACCTATACAAAGAGAAGTTCAAGGACAGCTGCCAAAGTCACCTGGACCACACGATAGTCAACATTTAATTTATTGATCAAAATGTTGATAAAAAAAAACCAGTTGGGAACCACTAAACCTAGTACCAATGACTGTCTTACTTTACCAGTTAGACCTAAGTTTCCTACGAGTTCTTTCAATTGAAATATTAAAAACAAATAAATATCATCTTGTTTCAAAGGCTACTTATCATTTTAATTTGAAGGCAGTATCACTACCTATTTCCATCTGAAGTAGATTTTGATGTGTGTCTATGATAGGCTAGTTGCAAATAAAGCCAAGAACCTAAAAGGCTAACAGCATTTGAAAGGTTTTTTCGTACATTGTGAACACCACGGCTGACAAATAAATTTCTTGGTTTAAGCTGCTCGAAGCGAGGGGCACCTTGTTAAATTTTTTAGACAAGCGTCATTAAAAGCTAATAGTAACTTAGCCTATATTTCAAGTTCCTAAAGACTTTTAGGTAATCCTGTACTTGAAAAACAAGCATGGGGCTCAAAAAATTGATCTCAAATGCACTAGTTGTGTCTCCAAATTAATACTGGACATAAGAAATTTGTCACTTCAAAACTTCTATTTACGAAACAGACTCGAATATTAGCTCAGCCTAGAACTTACACTATCAAAAATTAAGCCAGTGAAGGCATTTCAGGATAAATTGATTCAGAATCACACTCTCTAGACTCCAACCGGCCTGTAATAATGAGATATGGTTTAAAATTGAACAAATTAATAATGCTGACGAGTTTAGGCCAGGGTTGTCCCCTTTGGTTGGGGAAAAATCGGGACAGGCCCTCCTACTCCGAATTGAAATTGGCATAAACACGGACACAAGTGAAAAAAAATCGGGACAGTCCCAACATAATAAGGACGGGTGGCAACCCTGGTACTGTATAGGCCTAACTTACCTAGGTCCCTTATGTTTGCTTAAATAGGCCTATTTTAAGGATGATTTCCTTAATGGCCTTCATATTGGGTTAGACCAGAATACACTACACAGCTCTATAGGTTTTAAATAAAAAAATTCATTTCTTATACCAACACTTGGGAAATTAGTAGGATAAAGCCTATTCCAAGTCATCACTTAGGCTGCAGATGAACAACATACAAGGAACCTAATTGAGTCCTAAACCCTTTTTCTTAGAGATCGAAACAAGCCGGCTAATTGATAAATAAGCATAATTTAACAATTATAAGGTCCAAAGTTACATATTACAACATTTTTAACAGCACTTCTAAATTCCCAAAATCGTCGTATCATGATCTTGAGGTTATAGCTATAAGACATTATATCCCCATTATAAACATACAAATTCGCTATTCTAGGAAATATAGCACTCATATTTAAACAGTTGGAACTTTCAATGTTATAATAATTACACTAGAAAACACTCAAGTTTCCTACATTTCTATAAATACGTATAATTCCTTAGTGCCACACGTCTCCGTTCCCGCCGAAGTAGGAAAATGGTCGACGTGTGATGCGAACAATGGACGGCTTAAAACTAATCAAAATTCGAGTTAAATACAATATACCTTTTGTAACTTACATTAGACAATAAAACTTCTTCTAAATAAGAAAGAAAGAAACGAGCACGTTTTTAGGTATAGGCAAAAACCTAAAGGTTAAGTCGGACCCTCTCGGTGACTGCGCCGTTATGGCGCGCGAATGGACGAGATGATGAAGATGAACCCCCCTTGAAGAATGACACGTAATGGTTTATAGCGTCAAAATGCCAAAATATGTTATGGAGTGTAAAATTCATACCCCGATATTGCTGTATGATTAAGGAAATGAACGTAATTATAACTGATAATTGTTTGATCATCCACAAACTCTTTTGCATGTGATTCGTGTTGAAACTAGAAATTGTATGAAAAATATTCATCGTCTTTAGAATAATTAAGGCTAAAATTGGTGTTAAACTTATCAAAATAAGACATAATTTTTTCCTTTACATATGATATAATAAAAAATACTTACAGGAGATCGACACTGGACGTAATCCGGTAACTATAAAGAGGTGAATCTATCCATACTCGTTTCCAAGATTCACGAAATACAACACAAAATACACAAAAACTCCGATTAAACTTGACTTAAACGAAAATACTAAAACATTTGAGGGGTACTTTAATTCATGAAATTCTTATCTTATTATAATTTATCACACCTTTCACTTAATTAACCCGAGTCGATACTGTGAGCTTGAGATCAGAAGGAATAATGGCAGAAACGAGCCGAACTGGAGGGAAAGTTGGTGGGAGAATGTTTTGCGGTTCTCGCGCTCTCATTGGCTGAGCGCCCCCAACAGCTGGGGAACCAGCTGATTCGTGACATCATACTGAGCATAGCACAGTGTCAAGAATATTGCAAGTAGGCTTTGATTAGATTTTGCCTTTTTATTAGATTAGTGGGATCATTCCAGAAAATTTTTTTACTAACGTAGACATATTATGTAATCAAAAATGTTTTATTTTATTAAATAACTTCTGTATTCCAATTAAATCTCAAATACGCCTAATAAAAATCATTTTGTATAATAATTCCACCAAACGTTTTATTTCTATTAAACCCTACAAGTTTAAACCTAATAAATTTTAAAATTAGAAGTTTTAAAAACATTTTTAAGAAATATTTGCACTATAATAAAATATTTAAAATACAAATTGCATCCCCAGCCAACAAGCTTACCCTTATACAGTATTACAAATTGCAAGCTGCTAGGCCTTCTTACAAAATTAAATTTTGCATAGTATAAACTCATTAAATTGCACTAAATTGACATTCGTTAGACCAGGGTGACTTGTAAATAATAAATATATAAACACTCCTTGCGCAATTTATAATAGAGAACCACACCATACATTACAATACGTATGGTTATGGAACTGGTATTTTTTGGCGGTGCTTCGATCAAGATCAAGTTCAAGGCAGGATACGCAAGTTGTCATGAAGCTTGACCGGCTGTTGGCTGTTCCCGCCACCGCCTTGGCGGGAATTGTAGGTGTAATGCCCGCGAGAATCGAGAATTCCGCTCTGATGACGTTTCGTATGCAAGCTATAAATAGACACAAGACATTTTATGATTTTTATGGCTCCAGGGGGTTAAGGGTTTTAAATTAGGTAATCACTATTCAAAAGCATCGTTTCTTGGATATATTATCGTACCCGGAAAATCCAAAAATCGTCATAGCTTATAACATTTTGTTTTAATTAGGTTAGGTAGAAAACAGATATGCAACAACTTTCACTTTTTGCTGCACAACGAACATTTTGAAAGTAAACACATCGACAAAATACGTGGCAATGGAAAATATCACAAGATAAACAATACACAGTAACTTTTCCAAGATAGTCTAATGTCTACTGAATTGTTATAGTAATGTTAGATCATAGAAATACGAATTTAACCCTTCGTATAACTCTCTATGTAGTTAGAAAATAATTCGGCGTGCACGTAAGTTTCGATCAAATTAGATTATTAACAGATTGTTTTCGTGAGATTAAGGAGAATTCAGAAAGCTTAGGTTATAACCAAATCTATAGATTTTAGATACCGCTTAAAATCTTAGATTTTAGAGGACAAAAAATATTCCTAGCAAACAACTAGTAAAAACGGACGTGGTACTTCGATCAATCTCGTGCTGAATTTATGATCTAATTATTTTTAATTCTGACCAAGATAGTTACATACTTAGATTATCCTGACATCGTAGCTGTAAACTCGAAATGAACAATCACTTAAATTTCACGCCACACATCAAGAGCACGAAAAGTATTATAAAATTATGACAAAGAGCAGATAATATCACAACATGGTTGTATGGGCAGAGAGCACTGACTGTTTATCAATTGTACGGAATTTGTCAACCGAGCAAATGATGAAAAGTAGGTCTCGTGTCTTCATCGGTCATTCGTGAGCTTTGTTCAATACCAACATATTGAATTTTAAAGGGGTTTTTAAAACTGTGATGCAAACATTGGCAGGATGAATGACTTGCATTCTCGTAAATGTATTATTATGAGCAAAAGTGTAAATTGAGGTAACCAGTTTTCGCACGGTTCTTAGATTTGTATTATTGCATCCGCTGTTCTATTGTTTCTGGGTTCAACAACAAACATTTTTTATTATTCAACATTAGGGTAATAAATCTTTAACATAATAATTTTAGTTTGTGAACAAGTACAGCATTAAATTCATGTAAGTATGATTACTGTTTGTATTTAATTGCGTGGTTGTGGAAAACTACGTTTTAATTCCTTTCATGAATAATGTCTAATAAGAACCTTTCTATGTTTCGGCTATTGCTTACTGCACAGCTATACATTTTCGAATATTCCTGTGTTAAATATCACACGTTTGAACAATATGTAAAAGTCCACTTTCCCTAGGTCAAGTCTACCCAATAGGAGAATATGGGTGTGCTTTTAAAACTGGTTTACGTATATAACTTACTATAGAAATTTAGGTTCAAAATGTACGTAAGTAAACAAGATTCGTGAAATTCTATTCAAAGAAAGAAATAATAACAAAATCACTATGCAATAGGTTTAAAGTACATAAACTGTTTCCTGAATGTATGTTATCGAAAAAATAACTGTAATTAAAAATATCCTAATTTATAATTTGGTGCATAGGAATTCTGAAAAATGAATACTGGATGACGTATCCATCAAAACCACGCCATTCATAGCTTTTGTAATATGATCATTAGGGTCTCGCAATTGATTCTGCTATTATGAGCTACACTACATTTCTTGTAATATTTTCATCTAGACCATCAGCTATAGTAACAATAATTACACTTATGTTATAGCACATAGCACTGCTCTGCTGAGCGATTTAGTTACAATTACAAGTCCCAAAATTAACGATTTGTTGGATTTTTTCAACACAATTTTTTTTAGATCATTGTCCTCTTTGTTTGCACTCATAGAGGAGCAGTGCGATAGTTTTGGCGGGTGTGGGGACGCTCCCGGTTTGGCGCGAACCCCGGACGCCGCGGGTAATCAATAACAAGATACCCGGCAACTTTTGGCGGGAGCGGTCACAGAGCGTGGTAAAGCATCGTTCCGTGATATGCACATCACTTAACAGGTCTTTGTTCTATCCTTACATCTGGGGTCACGTGATCACGTATCCTGTTATAAAGTGAATAAACAACCTTGGAGTCATCTAAAAAATTTGTGTTGAAACAATTAAATTGCTGTATTTATATGAATGCTTTTTGTTACATGTTATGTATGGTAATATGGTACTAGTTAGTAAAGTTGCAATAAACTAAACATGTTATTCATGACTTCAAAATATAATTTTTCTTTGTAAAGTATTTTAACAAACAAGATCGCAATTTGTGCAACACCCTAAATTGCAGTTTACACGAATTTAGAACAGAAACTGTATGGATCATAAACATAAACATATGACGGCACTGGACTGAAGAACCAAAAAAGGTCAATTTTTGTATTAACATTTAGATGGAACCGTCAAAAAACTTCCAAACCAGCTGTTGCCCAACACCCTAAATTGCAGGTTACACGAATTTAGAACAGAAACTGTATGGATCATCAACATAAACAAATTACATACGTCACTGGACTAAAGGACCGAAAATAGCCTTGTTTTTAACATTTAGATGGAATTGTCAAAAAACTTCCAAACCAGCTGTTACAGATACGAGACTGATTCGTATAGACCTATATAGACTTTTGGGTCAGTGAAGTCATTTGTTTGTGTTTATGATTCATTATACCGTTTCTGTTCTATAGTATCCGTGACTGATGAGCATTTTTACGTTAAATGTTTCTACAGTAATCTTTTATGTTGTAAGTTGACGTGCCTTTACATCGTGTTCCTGTACCTTGTCAAAATGCGTTGATTCGTTCACAAATTAACTGTTTAACTCGACATCCTCGCTTTTAAACAATTCAACTCTGTGTATTTTCGCTGTTAAACTGATACACCCTTACTGTCCATTTTTCAAATTTTTCAGCTATTTTTCAAATGAATCTGTTAAGACACGTCCAAACAAGATGTTTCGATTACATTAGGATGACGTAATTTATTTTTATGGGCCACACAGTTTATTTGTTCTGATATCCTTGCTATCTACTAGTTTCTATTGTAAAATTATTTTTTTAGTTAAATAAACTCTATACGCGTTTTCAAAGAGAAGTTTTGATTGTACCATCGGTCCCAACTTATTTTGCAAAGCCATTGTTTCTCCATTCCTACAGGAACAGCTCCAGACAATAGTGATGTCTTTCCCGCTCAATTCTGGACCTGACGCCACATCCGCTCCCGACATCCGGACGAGAAATATTTCCAACTGAAACATTATTACAATATTCTAAATGTAATAAGTCGATTTTGAGTTTATTGCGAAATTAATCCTGACTTTACTCATGTTTAGATGAAATTGTAATTGAATTGCAACATACAATTGAAAACACCTTCATTTCACACCCAATCTATTACACACCCAATCTATTACACACCCAATGAGTTGGAAATATTCATCAATGTATTAAGTTAGAAATGAGTTTTATTTAACTAAAAAAAGGAAATATTATTCTTGAAAGCCAATGATGATAGTTTACATTCTAAAAGTTGTCTTTTATACATTTTAAATTGTGGCTCAAGATTGGATGTTTCAACCCAAATGACAAGTGGGAAATGAGTAGATTTTATATAGCTTCTGTCGCTTTGCTTTAAGACAAGATTATACTGTAGCCAACGTGTTATCAAGCATTTAATAAATGTGCCTGATCATTTATTAAATGCTTGATAACACGTTGGCTACAGTTTCAACTAGCACCACCTTTGTACTACACATACAGAATTTAGAAAGCAAATTATACTGTAACCGACGATTTCCTTATGTTTCCATACAATTTTCTACTGAACAAACCTGGAAATCACGAACCGTACATACTAAAATTTCACCAGAAATTTAGACTTCACTACCTGACGGATCAAGAAATAAAGATGGTCTTTTGTCAAGCGACGGTTTCTATTTCCGCGGAACTCGGTGGAAAGTATAAAAACAGAAGGCGACGAGGTGAGGTTCCCGGGTAATCGACCTCGACTCTCCCGCCAACAGGAACGCCCACAATCAGCTGATCGTATTGTTTCAGATCAGCTGGACGAAGAAAGTAACCACGCATTCCGATGCTCAGATCGACTTCACTTTCGCTCGACCGAAACTC